GCTCTTCTGTAGGGAGCATGTGTGTGTCAGCGAGCTTGTCTGTAGGGAGAGTGTGTGCACATCAGTGAGCTTGTCTGTAGTGAGAGTGTGTGTGACAGTAAGCTTGTCTGTAGTAAGCTTGTGTGTGTGTATCAGAGTTTGGCTGTACTAAATGTGTGTGTACCAGTAACCTTGTCTGTGTGTGTCATTGAGATTGTCTGTCAATGAGCCTATTTGTGTGCATCAGTAAGATTGTCTGTGTCTGTATGCGAGTATGCTTTATTGTATAATTTAATTACTCTGAAATAACTAATATTTTGAATTAGAAAAATATATATACCAATAATAAAAAAAAAAATATATATATATATATATATATATATATATATATATATATATATATATATATAAATAACACACACTACATAGCACAGTGACTTATGGGGCTGGCATAGATTTTATTTTTCCAGGGCTGCTTCGTATCCCCAGTCCGGCCCTGGTTGGAGGTTGGAATAGGGTTAGTGTTAATTACCAAAAATATTTTTATATCCTGACATATGACATAATCAGGACTAAGATGCAAAACTAGTTTAGCTCTTTTTAATGTAGTTGTACTTTATGTGTACAAATTGTTCTAAGGAAACAGCGAAAAAAATAATATCCCCCACCCCCAATTTTTTTTTACACTTAATGTGGTGTTAGGAATACATATATGCGATTTTAAAAAGCTTTTTCAGTCCTTAAAAAAAAAAAAAAATAAATAAAAAAAAAAAAGTAATAATATATAGTGTGTATAGTGGTACTTAAAGACAAACCCTTAAATTAGGATTGAACAAACACAGCACAAATTCTAGGTTTTGTTTTGGTTCAGAACTTAAACAAATGCCTCCGCACTTAAGGGTTAAAAATAAAATCTTAACGTTAACTGTATTGCAAAATGGCCCCTAACCTTTTCAACGTACAGAAATATACAATTTCTTGAAAATATCACAGCACGAACAATTTATCCAATTACCATACAAAATGTATCATACATATTTCTGTTATTCCAATAAATATATTTAGATTTTTTCTATTAAAATGGCAGTGGTATAAAGCCATGTGCAAAAGAAAAACAGCTTTGAATACACGGAATATTTTCACACATCTTACTTATACAGTAACGCATATAATATCTTGGCCACTGCAACAATTTACTATCTATAGATTTAGATTCAAATTATACATAATATGTGATATTTGTGTGTAGGTAAAATGCCCAAATATAGCAAGTAGGGTTTCCTAGCTAATACCAGGTATTAGTACAATTTAGGGCACATAAGCTCTACAGTATGCAAGGGCTATCTCTTGCTGCTGTAATGCAGCCGTGTAAAGAGAAGGTGGGGGTGACATTTATAGGCTTTTTGTGCAAGATAGAGGGATTGAATGGAGCCCAAGTGAAAAAAAGCCACCCAGTTAAAGCCAGCTCTGACACACAGGGATAACCAGGGCACTATTCAAACTAAATATAGCCTGAGTATACACGTAAATTGCTAGGGAAGGAGTAAACCACCAGTCCTGGTAAATCTTCACAGTGGTGAGGGCCATAGTCCAACAGGGAAGATCAAGGGATCCACGGCTGCCCAGAACTTGGTCACCCTCCTTCTACAGTAGCATAGATTGTTTTTTCTAATTCAAATATTTTTCCATATATTTCATTACCCCCCAACAACAGCTCCTATCACCCCAACACAACTAATACCCCCTAGTCACCCCACAATGTCTTCACACAGTACAGTCCATATCTCCCCAAACACTATAGCCCCCATCCCCCTTTATAACAGCCCCCCCATCACAGCCATTACACCCCATCATAGCTCCTCTTCAGTTCTTATTACCCACTACGGCCCCTACCCCGACACAGCCCCCATTCTCCCAACAAAGCTACTGTCCAGCCTGTCACAGCCCCTGTCCCCCTACACATCACAGCCCATATCCACTGCATACACTACTACATCACAGTCCCTATATCCCTACTATTGCATCTATCCCAAACATAGCACCTTTATCACAGCCTCCATCACATCCAATATTTCCCATCACATCCCTATCCGACCATCACAGAACACATCTCCCACAAAGACTGTCTCCTTCATACACATCAGCACCCATCCCCTCTAATGCTCATATCCCCTCTATCATAGCACTATCTCACCACAGCCCCTATACACTACAGCTCATATATCCCCCATACACAACAGCATCCATCCCCAAATAGATCCAACCCATTCCCCAATATACTACATTAGATAACTACCCCACACACCAGTTACTATCACCCTATATTCCACCTTATGTCGCCCCCATACACTACATCTCCTGTTCCCACTACACATTGAAGCCCCTAACCCCCCCATGTAGTACAGACCCTACATACACCACAGCCTCTATCCCGAACCTATAATCATCCCCACATACAGTACAGCTCCTAAGCCCACACACACACACTCGATACAACCACGCTCCTCACTACAAACAGTCCCCTTCAGAGACACATAACCCCAACCACATACAGCCTCTCCCTACACAACTCCTCAAGCAGTCTCCCCCAACATGCAAACCGAGACAAGCAAAATCCTCACATGCAGCTACCTCTCCACTCTCAAAATCTCACAACCAGCCTCCCACCACAGTCAATCACAGTGCCACAGCTAGTCTACTACACATAACACCACAAGCAGCCTTCACCCAAAACATTCAACCTCACAAGCAGTGGTGTACACACGAACCATGGGGCCCTGGTGCGAAAATTGATCCGTGGGCCCCCCTCCGCGCGGGCCAGGGCCACAACACATGGCGGTGGGCACCTGGTCGCGGGGCTGCGACCGAGGTATGTATGCCAGTGCATGCAGATACACACACACTTAAAGGACCACTACAGACTGCACCCAGATCACACCAGCTCAATTAAGTGGTCTGGGTGCCAGGTCCCTCTAGTTTTAACCCTGCAGCTGAAAACATAGCAGTTTCAAAGAAACTGCAATGTTTCACTGAGGGTTAATCCAGCTTCCAGTGGCTGTCTCACTGACAGATGCTAGAGGCGCTTCCGCGATTCTCACTGTGAAAAATCACAATGAAGACGCTGGACGTCCATAGGAAAGCACTGAGTAATGCTTTCCTATGGGCAGTTTGAATGCATGCGCGGCAAGAGCTGAGAGGCGGATCGGGGCAGAGGGATCCCCAGCGCCAAGGGAGTCCGGCGCTGGAGAAAAGTAATTGCTGAAGGGGTTTTAAACACACACACTCTCACAAACAGATGCATACACACTAGCTAAAAGACACACACATTTACTGACAGAAGCACACTCAGTGACAGACATACATACACACTCACTTACAAAACTTACACTCTCACTGACAAACACACCCTCACTAACAGACACACACAAACTAACACAAACAGTAGCACACTCACTGACACAAACTAACACACACACTGACACAAAAACTAACACTCACTAGCAGACACACATAGTAACACACACACTGACACAAAAACTAACACTAACACACATACACACATTTAAAAGTGATCCCCCAGCCTCCTTACCTTTGGGAGTGCTGAGGGGATTCCCTGGGGTTCAGTGGGGCTGCCCGGCGGCCAGTCCTGCGGGTGCGCGAGGGAGCACTCTCCCCTGAGCGCTCTCTGCCCAGCTCCCTTGCGCACCACTTACTGATGCTGGAGCAGGAATATGACGTCATATTCCGGCTCTGGCATCAGTGCAGTGCACGCGAAGGAGCTGGGCAGAGAGCGCTCAGGGGAGAGTGCTCCCTCGCGCGCCCGCAGGACTGGCCGCCAGGTGATACCAGGGCCAGCCTCGGGGGGCCCTGAGGTGGCTAGCTCCTGGGCCCCCCAGGAGAAGAGGAGAAGAGGCTGGCCACACTGGCGTACATACCTGGTCGCAGGGCGGCCGGGCCCCCTGGTGGGGTGGGGGCCCGGTCGCAGCCGTGACCCCTGCGACCCCGGTATGTACACCACTGCTCACAAGCAGCCTCCAAACGCATACAAATTAACAAGCAGCCTCCCTATGAAAACACACACACACAAAAAAAAACACCCTCTCCCAGCCCTGTCCCTCTTTTGTCTTCGGAAATCAACTTAAGAAGACACCAGAGGCATGTCACAAGCAAACATAGAACAAGCATGTCATTAAATTTGCTTGCATTGTGCTAACCAAACACATGGCATTTTCCTTATGCCAGAGCTCTTTAGCAGGACTCTGTGCATAAGCTGCCCTGGAGTGGCATCAAACTGCCATGCCCACTTTAAGAAGCAACACACCCTCTCCCCTGTCCCCATCAATATTCGGCCACTCTGCCTTTAAATACCCAAGCTGAATATTTGTCTCAGTCCGTCTGTGTCCAACAACATTGCTTACTATGATAGAACTCGATGGAATTTAATATCTTTTACTATGTAATCTGGCAAAATCCACAGACCTGGCACTTAATAGGTCAATACAACATTACATTTAAAATTTCACATATGTCCATGCATATGCTCCATATTGCAAAATTAAACAAATCTATGCAGCAAGCCTGAATTTAAAAGCATACCCAGAATGCAAACTGCACAGTGACACTTGAAACCGTTAAATATATAAAATTCTGGTTGCTCTGCTGGGTCTATCAAACAATTAACCCTTTTACAGAGATCTGCATTCTCTGCAATGCATCAGAGGTCCCTTCAGCAACCAAAGCGTTAACCTCCCCATGCACACACACACTATACCCCTCTGTTAAATTGATTGCAGATCTGTTGGCATATCAATAAAATTGCAATTTTTTTTGGTAGTAGCCTTGGCCCAGAGGAGGCGAGCCATTAATTTACACATCTCTGTTGTGAACTATATATTACATGTGCAGCCAATCACAGCTGGAGGGAATTAAGCAAGCAGGTCCAACAGAAGAATGAGTGGGCAGACAGAGGGACCTCTTCCTGGCGTCTGCGTTCACTGGCTCCCTCAAATTAATTGCAGATGCACAAACATGAGGTTGCTATAGGTAATAGTTGCTAGTGGCAACCAACACACCAAGAGCATCCCCAAAAGAAATATACAGGTGGGGGTAGACTTGCTGGTCCAAGCATCATACCGGCAGACGGGAGGGACGACAACTGCAACTATCCAACATTTTATGAGGGAGACCCGTTGGAGCAGTTTGTTTTAACAAAAGGAAACCGTACAAGAGGCTGTGTGGAAGGAATGGGAAAATGCAAGTTCTCCATCAACAGGTAAGGGGAACGAAGGCTGCCAGGGATGCCCATACACCCTCTCTCGTTGCTGCTGCACACAGAGAGCCGGGCACGGGCATTGTTAGGCACTCCATTCACACACACACACCAGCTGCAAGCAGCAAACTCATGGAATAACAGGGAGACAGCTTGCAAAACAAGAGGGTTTTGCTTCCCAGTTATCTCCAGACAATGCTTTATAGGGTGGGAGAGTGTAGGAGGGGGGATACCACAACACACTTCTCTTCAATTCTAGAGGAAAAATTGCTTCTTTTTCTCTCTGGTTCTAAAGATAAAAAGGGTTAGGTACCCTCTGATACTGTGCATTGTGCTTTTTAAATTAAATACTAGTATTCTGCAGCAGGGATTACCCCCAGGAAAAACAACCCTCTCTGCAAAAAAAAAAAAAAGGCTTGTTTGCAGCCTTTCCACCTAAAGAGAAACAGTTACACATATATCTGCCAAATTAGGCATTTTATTTGGGAATTGTCACCTAATTCCAGTCGCCAGGTGGTCAAAATATGTAGGCATTATTCATCTGTGACGTGTCCCTCCTTAGTGTCTTGCACTCATCAGGAGAGCAATACATTTTTTTTTTTAGAAAAAAAAATCTAGGATTTTCTCTTGCCTCCTGGGGGCATATACAAGGAGGTTAGTGCTGACACTTTCTTCCACAATTTTTTTTTAATTTGTATTATTTTCTTTATTGGTATGCTCAAGCAATCAATTTACTAAATGTTGCAGCCTTTCAATAAGGGGTTTATTCGTCATTCTATGAATTGTGGTGAATTGACAAATTATTGCAAAAAAAAAAAAAATCAGACAAAAACACCCGAGCTGGTAAAAATATAATATCCATTTTTGTTCTGATTTTGTAAGCCTGGAAGTGTACATGGTTCCTGCTCAAAGCCGATGAAGTTTCAACGAGCAACCGGTGGTTGCTATAGAGGGAGGCAGGGAGTCAGCAGATTAGAATTTATAATTGCCAATTCCTATGCAAATTATAGAGAAACAAGATTCAACAGTGATTGGCAAAGAAATGTTGCAGAAATAAAATACAAAATGTGTGAAAAAAAAATGTAACAAATAGAAACCTACAATGGTGCGTTGTTTTATCGACAGATAAATCTATACGTGCTGAGAAAGGCAAAAGCCAACATTATACCAATATGTGCAGTGTGATCAGGAGAGCAATAAATTTTTTTTTTTAGAAAAAAAAATCTAGGATTTTCTCTTGCCTCCTGGGGGCATATACAAGGAGGTTAGTGCTGACACTTTCTTCCACAATTTTTTTTTAATTTGTATTATTTTCTTTATTGGTATGCTCAAGCAATCAATTTACTAAATGTTGCAGCCTTTCAATAAGGGGTTTATTCGTCATTCTATGAATTGTGGTGAATTGACAAATTATTGCAAAAAAAAAAAAAATCAGACAAAAACACCCGAGCTGGTAAAAATATAATATCCATTTTTGTTCTGATTTTGTAAGCCTGGAAGTGTACATGGTTCCTGCTCAAAGCCGATGAAGTTTCAACGAGCAACCGGTGGTTGCTATAGAGGGAGGCAGGGAGTCAGCAGATTAGAATTTATAATTGCCAATTCCTATGCAAATTATAGAGAAACAAGATTCAACAGTGATTGGCAAAGAAATGTTGCAGAAATAAAATACAAAATGTGTGAAAAAAAAATGTAACAAATAGAAACCTACAATGGTGCGTTGTTTTATCGACAGATAAATCTATACGTGCTGAGAAAGGCAAAAGCCAACATTATACCAATATGTGCAGTGTGATTAAGGGCAGGCTGAATTTATCAGATTTTTTTTGTAATACAGCAGTGGATAAACTAAAACACAAGAATTTAAAGTGATTTTGCTCTAATGTACAAATACAATTATTAACGTACAGATGAATCAGTGTGGGGTGGAAGGAATTAAAAAAAAATATATAAAAAATTAAACAGAAGTACAATATAAATAACACACTGAATGTACTGTGCTCCATTGCAGACACCCAACAAAAATGTTCCCTTTTTTTCCATATGGCTTTAAATATCTCCAGAAAATTGTTCATCTTGACTCCAGTGTGAAATATTACTTGTTTCTTAGATTCTGTATCAGAGATTCATACTATGACATACTGAATATAATTTTAAACCCTACCCCACCCATTCTTTTCACTCCTCCTGTCCTATTTATACCGTATGTGTACCCCATTCCCTTTCAGTGTCATTTCACTTGCGCAATTACCTGGTAAAAGCAGACATTAGTATGCATTAGAGAAACGGCATGATACCCAAGTTGATTAGGAGCTATAGTCTGATGAATTTGGGCTTGAGGGACAGCAATTCAAGACAAGTTTTCTACACCTTTATTGCCAGTGTTAATATAAAATCTTTGCATAGTGTGACAATTGTCTGCAGACTGTACACCTCTGACAATTTGCCCATGCATGTGGAGACACTGAAATGTGCCCATCCAGCCAAAGACCCTGACAACCTGCCCATTCATCCAGCAACAATAAATTTGGCCAATTCATTCAAAAATTTTAATATTAAGCCACCCTATACCCTCAGGCACCAATTTGGAACATAACTCCCAGCACAATGCTTATGCCACCGTCCAATAGATTGCACTAGTCCGCCCGAAATGACGCAAGAGAAATCAGTATAATGATTATGATGTTGTGGTAGATGAGAATAAGCGCAATGCCTTTACTAGACATTTAATGTTGAGCTTGCACTCTACATTAATGCAAGGGAGACAAAAAACAAGACACTTCTCCAAAAACCCATTGACCTTCCAGTGTCACAGAGATAATTACTGTACTTTCGCTATAACATATATCCCAAGGATTGAAAAGGTCCTAAGGACAACATAGGAGCCTTAGTGTACAGCAGCCAGCAGCGCTATCATGCTTTGCCCCTGTTTGCACAAAGATCCCATTGTCCTAATTTCACAAAAAGAAAACGCATTAAAAATGCATGGCGAAGCAATCAGACTCACCTGCAGAGCAATGAAAGCGGGAATCACAAAGGATGCGAAGTCTAACAACCAGGTTGGAAAAATGCCATACATTTAAAGGAATTGGGCACTTGAGATCTTTTATGTAATATTAAATCACCTGTTGCATAAATTAATAATACGAATGGCTTATTCATACTGGCAACTTTGCTGCATTATCTGCACTGTAACAGTATGTTAGTATGGACTTAGTGCAGCATCAGAAAAGGGTTTATATAATTTCCCTCCCTCACCCCAAAAAAAGAGGGTAAAGTACATCACACTTGCTCCAGCAAAATATTTTGGTGCAATATCACAAAGCTGATTATCATAAAGATCTGATGTGAATCGAGATATTCACAACAGCAGCAAAAATCTAATCACAATTTTTATGTATTTTTTTTTTAAGTCTGGGATACGTTATGGCCAGCTATGTTATTCCTCACAAATACATCCAAAATTATATATAAATTTACAATGAGCTCTGCAGAATAAACCTACAATATATTCTAAATAATTCAACATAAGCTAGCAATAGTCAGGGTTTTGGTACGAAAGCAAATAATAAAATAAATAATGCCTATTATTTTTGAAATTCCACAATAGGCACTGTGCAAGATGTCATCGGAGAAAGATCCTGTTGGTTCAAGGGTGAACCTTTCTTAAATTTATGTTGAGGTAGACCATATGCAGGATCTAAAGCTTGAGGATCCTGTGGCTAGTTGAGCCTTTCTAGAACTACAAGCATTCTAATTTGGTTATTTTTCAAAACTAAAAATTTGCCAAAATGTAGACAAAAGACTATTCATCTTATTCAAGAACGCGTGTTCCTCATGACCTGACATAACGTTTCCTCTGGATTCAGCCTCATGTAGAAAACAAACTCTGCTTGTTTCCTGCGCTCCTGTGAGGCTGGTTAGACCTTTTGGTGAGCTGAAAACACGATGACCCCATTTACAAACTCACAATTTAGAAAGAAAAAAAAAAAAATTGGATATCATATTCACTTGCTGTTAGGCATCCATCAAGATCTCTTTTACTTACCCCAAAGTTGGGGTCTCTGGTAGAGGACTAAATACACTGCATTACAAAAAGGGGGTGTAAAATAATGGAAAAAAATAAGAAAGTTATATTTTCCATATTTATTTACTTAGATCAGGGGTAGTTAACTTTTTAATACCTACCAACAACTTTTGAAGCTTTGTTGATGGTAACATTTCCTTACTGCCCACCCGTGCTTGCAGTAACTAATTTTATATTATATATAATTTTTCATATATATATATGATGTGTATGTGAAGGGTGGAGTGTGTGAGGGGGGGGAAGTGTGTGTGTGTATGTGTGCAGTGTCAAGCAGTGTGTGTGTGAGAGCAGGCAGTGTGTGTGAGGGGTGTATTGTGTGTGAGGGGGCAGTGTGTTTGTGAAACAAGGCAGTATGTGTGTAGGTGGGATGTGTGAGGTATGTAGTGTGTGTGTTTATGTGTAAGGGGTGCATAGGGTCTATGCTGTGTGAGATGTGAAAATCTATCAATGTCTTCCCCTCCCTTCTTCTTACCTTTTACCAGGGAGGGGGGACATAATGCTGCAAGCCCTGGTGATCCAGAGGTAGCATGTTCACATTAGCCTGCAGCTTCTCCTGTCCTCCTGCGAACACAGCACTGTATCGGACCGTTGCCATGGCAACTCTCTGATCAGTCTGCTCACAAGAGCCTCCCAGGACCTTCCCTCCCTCTGCTGGAACTAAGTGCCAGCAGGCTGGTGAGGGAGATGCTTGATCTCCTCACCAGCCCGAGAAGGCTTACAGCAAAGCTAGCTCTGCATGGGCCGGCAGGGGAGATGAAAGGATCTCCCCTGCTGATCTTGGCCCACGGCCATCGAGGCCAATCGGGCGTTTTCTGCAGAACCCACCACTGCCCACCTAAAATCCCAAACTGCCTACTAGTGGGCAGTAGGGACCAGGTTGACTACGCCTGATTTAGCTTTTTTTTTTTTTTTTAATACATTTTTGAGATGCAGGTGAGCACATCAGTGCCTGCCTTGCCACAACAGCATTTGCAGGCTCAAACGACATAATCAAACAGACTCTGTGACATTTTTCAAGTTAAGTGAGTCAAGATTGGGTCTCGGGTATGTAACAAGGTATAGTAAAATATGTGGTGAAACATTACCTGTGCCGCCCGGTGCATATACAAGATTACGTTTGCAACCCTTCCTGTCCTCCGTGTTATGAGGCTAGGGCTTAGGACATACAGCGTATCACCGGTTTAATTCATACTCTAGGAACGTGTGTGTGCAATGGCGGCTAGAGGCAATAGTGAGATGTAACATGGCAGCAAGGCTCCTTGACCCCGTAGTCTGGGGAGGGAGGGGAGTTGTTTCCTTTCACAGTGTAGGTGTGTGTTACTTGGGACCTCGGCGCTAAGGTGTCGTCTGGGTGTTCTGTAGGTTCCGCCAGGTTGAGGGGTCTATGAGATCGGTGTGCCATGCGGTCTGTGTGTCAAGTGATAAATATATGTGAGCTGCCGCGGGGAGCAGACTGGGTGGACAACCTATAACACAACATATGGCATAAAAAATAACTGGCATAAAAATTATATATAAAAGGGAGAACAATGCATAACTCAGTGTAACACAAAGCTAGCTGGTGCATTTTCAAGTTCCTTGTGTCGGACAGCTACTTTTCCACATTAAGCGTCTGGGAGCTGCATAGTGCCTCTTTCTTCTGGGGCTGCATGTCCCGATGGGGTGAACGTTGGGATGTTGGCATACGGGGTCTGTCCCCTGACAGCGCGGAGGAAGCCTTCTTTGTCTGAGCGGGATTTAAAGCTCATTATGACATCCCTTGTGAAGTCTGGAGCGTTGTTTGGGGGCGTCCTGATATACGAAATAGGCCATCTAGGGTCAATCCTTTGGCCTGTTTGGGCGGTAGGGCAGCCAGGAGGAGCCTCTTAATGAGGTCCCCCTCACCTGTAGGTTTCTCTGTCTCGCCATATCTTCGAGCTGCCCCACTCGAGCGTTCAGCGGTGTACTTGGTTACTAGCTCCTGTGTGTGCTTAGCCGTGGCGTCGTGCTAGGCCCTCAGTTCCTCGACCACTTCAACCGTGGCTCGCATGCAGCCTGTAAGCGTGCTCAGCTCCGTCTTGAGGCCTGCTAATTCCGCCGTGAAAAGGGCCTTAAGGTCAGTCACCATGCTTGATAGGTCAACCTTAGTGGTTAATGATGGTTCCGATTGCCTTGGTGGTGCGGTCTGTTGCTTCCGTTGGGGTATCTGGGTCGACATATCGCTCAGGTATTCATCCTCTGAGGCAGAGAGTGACTCCATCCCCATGTCTTGGAAGGCGTCCGCCATTTTGGGACTGCAAGCTTGGGACAAGAGTTGCCCGATACCGTGGGTATGTCCCGTGGATGGCCCTCGAGGTTTCCCCCATTGCGTACTGGATCTCCCAAAGGTTTATTTCCCGGCTTGTGGAGGTAGTTTGACCGAGTTCCGTGGCTGTTTTGCTATAGTAATGTCAGAGCTCAGGCATTCAACAATTAAATTCAAATGTTGTCTAACAGTAGCTCTGCCAACTAAAAGCACTACTCGTAATTAACCCAGGTTCATGACGTCTCTACAGAACATCTCAAAAAACAGTTATCAAGCTGTAGTTTTTAGTAAAGAGGAACCAGATATGTCACATAACCAAACTCAAGACAAGAATAATGAAACAGAAAAAAAAATAGATAAGGAAAAGCAAAATTAACTAACAATCTGAGATTTTTAAAGAGATCTAACGAGGCTTGCAATACATTCTTTATTGACATAGAAATATCAAGTCAAAAAGTAATGCAGATTTGCACTGTGATAATATTTAATGCATTCTGTAAAGGTGCAGGACGGACAGTTACCAATTCAAAGGATTTGACAGACTGATAGAATTTGTGAAAGGTCACTTCCAAGGAATGTTACAGGGATAAGTAGACATACTAATATTTAATATGTATTTGTGAGGATAACTGTACTTGGCGGTAACATCACCAACCTGTTGCTTCTCACAAATACATTGCAAGATTTACCAGTGTATTCAAATATAGTTTTATGGATAGACTAGCCTCTTAGCCAGAAACATCTAGTGGCAATCAGTATCTGGATTATTCTATCCAGCAAGTACTCATACTACTATTTTTTTATTTTTATTTTTTTTTAATAAGGGGGGCAGCAAGACTCCTCTACGGATGTTGGTCAACAATTCTCTGAGGACAATGGCACACTGCCTCTCATTAAAAGGGACATTAAGAACCATTTGAATAATACTCACCACACATTCCAGGCAGACTCTCCATTAGCTTCAGCATCGGCTCATATGGGTTTAATAATCAAAACAGTTTGAATAGGGCAATGTTCTCAGCTTCTAGAGGACATGCAACATATCACTAAAAGGGACACTCCAGCTTTCTGAAAGTGCTTTATGTGTGAAGACTGTGTCTCCTTTCTTTCAGTAGAAATTTACCCTTTTATAAATTAACCTTGTTACACCCCCCTGGCCGGCAATCAGGCAAGTTCTGTTACTTCCTGGTTTGGTTAGCTCAGTGGAGTTAAACTCAAGAGGCAGCAATTGTACAGAACACCTGCCTTGCAAAGACTTCTCACTAAACTGCATTGGGAAGCCTGTGATTGGACAGACACAGAAAGCCTGGGCGGGGTTAGAATGGGAGGAGCTTGCAAAGACTAGATAACTGCAACTTTATCAAACTTTTTTGATATACCACAATGGAAAAAAAATTATTAAATGCTTGCATGTTTTCTACTAAACAGTGATTATTTGGCAGTGTAGAGTCCCCCACTGCACAATGGAAACAATACCATTGCTTGATGCTCACTTTTTCTCAGAAATCAATAGGGCCAGACTAGGACACTGGTAGCCACTTGTGCTGGTGCAATAGGTCTACAACATAATGGAACATTATCAGTAAGTCAGGTGAGATTCCGAGGCAGGTATACCATCACTACTCTAGGTGCCACCTTTTAGGAAAAAGACCTGGCATGAGTCAATTGACTGTGTTGTAGGAGTTAAAATAAGGCTGGGTCGTTGTCAGTGGTTAATTTTAAAAAGCTGTCAATAGACGGAGCTCAATACTATATATATATATTTTACACAGATTTCAGCTAATTATTTGCCAATCACTACCTAGTTCCCTGTCCCTCCCGCTCACCTGCATGTTTCTTAACGTGTAAAGCACAATCGGTACACAATACAAACACTGGCTGGGATGGTTGGTATTGTCTCGGAGATGATCTGCTTTTAGAAAATAAAATTAATGGCACAGAAACATGGAATTCGTGTTGCAGTGAAAACGACTTGGCTGATGAGCCTATTGCCGACTTGCTGATAAGACTTGCCTGATGTAAGGAACATGATGTGCAAGCGGTGTGGCTTGAAGGACTGGTAAACAGCCGCGTTTCTGACTGATTGAATGGGTCATTTAATGAACAAAAAAATATATATATTATGAGATCTGTACAGCCAGTGGTATCTAATGCTCCACTTTGGCAATGCAAACGCACAAAAGTAATTATTGCCGATCACAAAAGATATGTGACAGATTGTGAACCTTAATTAGTTTCTGTTCACTAGTCAATACTGCTGGTGTATACTATTACACTGTCAGTTTGACAGCGTTGAAGTGTCAAAATAAATTGTGTCACTGTGAATCCCCTGTGTTAAATTATTTTATTTATAAATCAATCCATTTCAAATATACAGCAGCAGGGAGGCTGCAAAAGGTGTGACACTAATGGCTGATTGCCCTTTACCCCAGCTCTGTGATACACTCATACACACTGCACATTACTGTGAGTTTTATTGTTGTGGAGCTCTGTGATACGGTCATACACACTGGACTGCAAGTCACAAGCCACTTTTGGTAGGAAGCAGTGGTGGCTGCTGTTCTTTACAAATCATTTGTATATCAAGGCCAATGGAGGATATCTGAAGATATCAGGTTTGGAACAAACACAAAATGTAAATAGAATGGGTGACAAGGCTTGTAATAAAGAAACAGACACATGGTCTATAGACACTATTAAACTATAAATGCAACGCTAACCGACTGCTTTTGCTTCTTAAGTTAGTACTTTAATTATCACTTACTACTAAACCTACCATTACTATTTTGGCCAAAATTAAAATATACAAAAACATTTTTATTTTATTTTTTAATCTTGTTTAAGTTTTACCAATAATTAATCTAGTAATTAATTATAGCATATTAATAAGCCATTAAATTATTGAAAGAATACCATTACGAGTCTCTAGTCATATAACAAATTATAGTTTTCTATTTTTATTTTACATTTTTTTGTTTACATTTCTATAGGAGACAGGCTGATGGTGTGTTAGCAGTTATTGGCTACAAGACTGGACATTTTTCAGCTGGGATTTTACTGGCGTTACACAGTACAGTCTGAAGGTAAGGGAGTTTAGTATATTGCCATATGGTAGCCAAAAACGTAAAGGTGCAGTTCCATCTAAGCAAAAAGAGATTCAATGTTCTCACAAGTTATGCCAAGCAAATATGTTCTCCGTTGTTTATTAACTAAAATAATGCTAGTAGAGATTAATTTGCTAATTCATCCACACCGTTCCCATAGCTTTTGCTACGTGATTATAGTCCACAAATAATATGTCCGCCAGTATGGGGTGAATTTTTTAATTTTTATTTCTGTATAAGCTGAAAGCTGCTCTGTAACATCACAGGTTTTGCATTTAAATCAATTATTTTATGTTCCTCTATTTCTGTTTGGTTGTATATACATATAAATATTTATTTTTTAAAAAGTCACCTTTTTAGTTATATATAAGATGGCAAATGGACTTCTTTTTCTCATGGGGAGCGGGATCTTTCGCAATGGCTTAACCAAAGTTCCATGTCGACTGCTAAACGTATTTACCCACAATCCATCAGTCAAAAGAATCTCACAAAAAGCAAACTGCATGGACAGAGGAGAACAAAACGGAATCCCCCAAGTAATGGGATTCTACTCAAGGAAGGAAAAAAAAAAAAAATAGCAGTAAACGTGTCAATTCAAAGGGGGGTAGTTGCATCAGTGAATTAAAGGACCACTATAGTGCCAGGAAAACATACTCGTTTTCCTGGCACTATAGTGCCCTGAGGGTGCCCCCACCCTCAGGGACCCCCTCCCGCCCGGCTCTGGAAGGGGGAAAGGGGGTAAAACTTACCTTTTTCCAGCGCTGGGCGGAGAGCTCTCCTCCTCCTCTCCGCCTCCGTTACGCCCCGCCGGCTGAATGCGCACGCGCGGCAAGAGCTGCGCGCGCATTCAGCCGGTCTCATAGGAAAGCATTTACAATGCTTTCCTATGGACGCTGGCGTGCTCTCACTGTGATTTTCACAGTGAGAAGCACGCAAGCGCCTCTAGTGGCTGCCAATGAGACAGCCACTAGAGGATTAGGGGGAAGGCTTAACCCATTCATAATTATAGCAGTTTCTCTGAAACTGCTATAATTATGAAAAAATGGGTTAACCCTAGAAGGACCTGGCACCCAGACCACTTCATTAAGCTGAAGTGGTCTGGGTGCCTAGAGTGGTCCTTTAAGTACATTCCTTAATGCCGGCCCTGTTTTTAATGTTCCCCCTTTTGGCTTTCCTTTCCTTTGCTCATGCCCTCTGTATCTTGATCATTCCCTCCCTTGCCACTTGCATTTGTTTATATTTATTATTTGTTCTTCCTTGGGACACATTTCAATATCTGGGAGCAGTAATTTTGTTCTGCTCTGCCCAGGATGTCTGCGGTTTGCCTTCTGTGGGATTGAAATTTCTCACAGGGCCACTTATAGGCGACCAGAACACTTTATGTCAATGTTGTGGTCTGGGTGCAGTGTTCCTGCCGTTTTGGTCCTGCAGTGTAAAACAATGCCATTTTGTAGATGTGTTAATGTTTATATTGAAGCACTAAACATACCTGTATTCCTGACCGCCCCATGATCCTGGGAACCAGGTAGATTACATATGTTGTAGAACTACAACTCCCATGATGCTTTGCATACCTCTAGAATGCCAAAGCATCGTGGAAACTGTAGTTTTAAAATATCAGGGGGTCCACCTTTTCGGTATCGCTGCCCTAAAAGGTGATCCCACGGACATGACAGGGCCAAAAAACTTTTTTTTTTTTTTTTTTTTTAACCCTCATCCATCCATTTTTTATTTTAAAAGGAGGGCCCTGACTCTAAATATGTATTCCTAACAGTACAGTATTCCTTTATTATCGATACTGGGTAAATTTTACAGGCAATTAAAAGAACATCTTGCTTTAAAAGGGACCAGTTTATGGAGCAGTACTTAAAGGATCACTATAGGGTCAGGAACACATATGTATTCCTGACCCTATAGTGTTAAAACCCACCATTTAAGTGGCTTCCGCCCCCTTAGCCCTTTTTGCCAAAAATGGCCCCGCCCCTGATCTACCTACTTGTGACTTCCCTATGGGAAAGTATTGGATTGGCTAAAATCGGCAAGAGGCGGGATGGGGGCAGGGCCAAACACCGGTTTGGATAATCAGCACCTCCTCATAGAGATGCCTTGAATCAATGCATCTCATCTCCATCCACAGCGTGGCCATCTGAGGAGTGCCCACTCTAGGTGTTCCTAGGGGGAAATTTAAACCCTGCCTTTTCTCTGAAAAGGCAGTGTTTGCATGAAAATGCCTCAATTGAATGCTTATACTCACCAGGACAAATACAATAAGCTGTAGTTGTTCTGGTGACTATAGTGTCCCTTTAAAAACAGATCTGTCAACAAAAATAAACTTCATCTAGTCTGCTTCTATACTGCTCCTGATTAGACTTTTTATCCTGAGTGTTTTATTTTTTTTGTAATACATAAACAAACATAGGGACTTCTCTTTCTTATTTATAGTAGTTAAGTTAACAAAAACCCTAACAATAGGCGAAGCTTATAGAGACACATTAAGCACCAAAACAAACTTTAGATTATTGAAGTTTGGTGTATAGATCGTGTGAATGCAGTCTCACTGCTCGGTTATCTGCCATTTAGGAGCAGGTGACATCAGTGTATTTACTTTAGAAATTATCTCCTGCAATATTAATTGAATTATATTCATACACAGGAAGCTACTACGGGCTCTAGCAAACAATTAAGAGAGCAGAAGAGAAGACACTTAAAATTAAATAGACTCTGCAATATAGGAAACATGTCTATGTCAGATGCAAAGGAGGTGTGACTAAGGCTGCATAAATAAAGTGATTTAACTCCTAAATGGCAGAGAATTGAGCACTGCGACTACATGGTTCATGATCTATACACCACAACTACTTCATTAAGCTAAAGTTTTTTTGGTGCCTATTGGGTCCCTTTAAGCTCGGTCTATTAAGTTTTGTCATACATATGGAAAAGTAGCTCCTTTTATAAAAAGTCAAGCACGGAGGTGAAAAATAAAAAAATAGTCAGACACAGGGAGCTATGTAATAAAATATTAAAGTTTATGGTAACAGATCAGTGTTAAGTATACGTGAATTACCGTAGTCACCTAAATTACTTTAGCTAAATAAAGCAGTTTTAGTGTATAGATCATTCACCTGCAATTTCACTAATCAATTCACTGTCATTTAGGAGTTAAATCACTTTGTTTCTGTTTATGCAGCCCTAGCCACACCTCCCCTGGGTACGATTGACAGAGCCTGCATGAAAAAAACAACTGGTTTCACTTTCAAACAGATGTAATTTACCTTAAATAATTGTATCTCAATCTCTAAATTGAACTTTAATCACATACAGGAGGCTCTTGCAGGGTCTAGCAAGCTATTAACATAGCAGGGGATAAGAAAATCTTAATTAAACAGAACTTGCAATAAAGAAAGCCTAAATAGGGTTCTCTTTACAGGAAGTGTTTATGGAAGGCTGTGCAAGTCACATGCAGGGAGGTGTGACTAGGGTTCATAAACAAAGGGATTTAACTCCTAAATGGCAGAGGATTGAGCAGTGAGGCTGCAGGGGCATGTTCTATACACCACCACTGCTTCATTAAGCTAAAGTTGTTCAGGTGACTATAGTGTCCCTTTAAGTGCTGGGTTAGACATTAAAAAACTATGGCTATTGCTCCATAACCAGATACAGAGAACTAGGACCACTGGATTAATGGGGCATAGCGCTCTTCGTTGTTTTGGGGAGAGTAGTAAACATTTCTAGATGCCTTTTCACTTTCTTAGCTGGTTTTGGCAACTTTTACTTTAACTCTTGACCTTCAGTCCACTTCATACAAGCCTTGAAGTTGACCGTTGTCCTCTTCAAACCACTGGCCCACCAGGGTCTCTCTGTATTTTAACTAAAAGAATAATTAAAATTAATCTGCTTCATACATCTAACCTCCCTCTGTATTAAAAAACCTCTTACCTAGGATTACTCTCTCTCAATGCAGGCTGCAGGAGAACTGAAGACCACAAAATGCTCCTGACCATGGCTGGTGAGATTCTCAGTACCACATTCTCCACTCCTGGGAGCAGCCACTCTGTCACCTCCTTGACCTTGGAACAAAAGGCTGCCTTTGTCCTGGTGTTTTTCCTCTTTATCTTTCTCGGGCTTCTTATTATACGTTGTTTTCGGATACTACTGGACCCATACCGCAGTATGCCCTCGTCTACATGGACAGATTACATGGAGAAGGATACGTTTGACTATCGTTGGGCCTGACAGCAGACACGAACTATGGTGACGCATTTTGCGATTACTTGAGGGAGTTTCACACTTTCACCGGTGGCCTTCAGGAAATCAGCTTTCGAGTTTCCTTATATAGTGTTTTGGTTTTTTTATTTTCCTTTTTCTAATGTTTAAAGCCTCTCTATGTTTATGTGGGTTGTTTACATTGGTTGCAAGTGTTTGTAACCCCTGCTAAGCAGTGTCCTGTTTTTAGGACAAATTACTTTACACAAACAAGATCTACCAATACAAAACAAAGCCTCAAGTTAACACATAGACCTAAGTTCACAGAGTTTCCAGCCGTGTTGATAGTGGACACCCGTAACTTTGTTCTACTCTATGCTTATTGGGTGAATAGAGTAACATTTTGGTGCATCTTGTGACATGGTGGAAAAGGGATGCATTCTCATAATACGAACAGAAATGTCAACCGTCCCACAGGGAAGACTTGGGTAGTTTTTGGAACTCCTAAAATACCTCAGATAAGATTTGTTGGTTCCAAGTAGGATATAAAACCATTATTAGAATAATGGTATGTGCTCATTAAGAGATAAACATGTTGCTGGTTTTCACACTGTAGAGAATAGTTTTGGAGATGCAACGTATTACCGAAAATCTACGACTGACTGGTACCTGTCTCACTACAGGTGATAGGACAGGTGATAAATAGTAACTATTGTTATTACTATATGTATTTATGGATGATTTAAGTCTACACTGACAAAAAAAACAAAAAAACACAGACCATAGGTATGATGGCTACGACCGGGGCGAACGTTTCAGTTCAGTTCAGTTTCAAACTCGTTTTGGAGCCAGTATAAGAAATTAAGTGCCAGCTTGAATCACACAGCGAACGTTAGATGAGCAGAGGACTTTAGGGTTCCTCGTAAATGGTTACAAACTTGCCTCTGAATGGTTGTAAACATTATTTGAAGTAATTGAGATTTTCAGCATGGTAGGTCTTCCAGTAACTTCGAAAAAAAAATTTGAGTACCTGCTTAGTCTTTCTACTCAAACTGCCTTAGACTTTGTGATTAACTCGGCTGTTGGAACGTGGGGTTAATTATTGCCCCAGCACAAGGACAAATTCTAGATATTCCAGGTGCAGTGTCCAGACGTCTACAACCTTCATTAGGTAGTGTTGTCTAAAGCACGAGCAGAATGGTTGGATGCTATTCAGTTCTTGAAAGTATATAAGTACTATAGGATGTTTTTTTAATGCAGGTTGAGTCATAAAAACCATCAAGAGTTAATGTCTGGCCTTCACGAAATGAGTCTGATGCACAGGCTATTACAGGACTACATTTTACTCCTACATCAAAAACAGGACGACTAGCACATAGAGGCCTTGTAATAACATGTATGTAGAGACAAAGCATCAGTCCTAATTGCATTTCAAATGAGAAAGGGATAAAGGCTGTGTGAGACACAGTAAATAAGAAGAACATTGGCAAACAATCCATAGCACTTTTTGGGGGGGGGGGTTTAAATTGCTTGCTGGAAGCAATGGGAATGCAGTTCGACAGGTGGCAAGATGTGTTTGAGCAACCACCTTGTTTTAAAATACATATTGGCATATATTCGGTCTCGAAACAGAAGGGTGACCAGGGACTATCAGTTACACAAACACGCTTTACTGAGTTGGTATCAGGCGATGGCATACCTGGAGAATAGAAATTAACCTAGTGCGGTCTCCATGGAAACTGAACATCGCTCGCTTTCAGAAGTTTGCTCTATCGTACCCAAACACATGAAACATTAAAGGATTGTAGCGGAGTGTAAAAATCTCCCAAGACATACAAGCAAATTCAATTGGGGGTTTTTTTTATGGGTAGGTGGGGAGGACAAAACCACTCTACAAGAAGTAAAACAAACTACCTGCTTAATTGCTGCTTAATTTTGTGCACAAAAAAAGTGACTTTTTTTATGGTTCTCTCTCCTCGAACAACCTTTTGCTATAGCCACCGCAGGCAAGAGATGAATGCGCCTCATATTTCACAGCAATGGCATAGGTTGGATAAACGTGCCAAAATGTCCCTAGGCACAAATTCTGCCGATGCCTACAAACCGAGAGAAGATATAGATGAAAATATATATATATACATATATATATATATACATATATATATATATATATATATATATATATATATATATATATATATATATATATATATATATATATATATATAAACAAAACAAAACAAAAAAAAAAACTATGAACAAGAAGTATTAACTACGGGATCAGTACCATTGGAGTTTCCAGTGATGTTTGAGCACTAGGGAAAGCATGAAAACTAACATGTACCCTGGTAAATGGTAATAGCATGGAAGAACAGTCATGGCAGAGTTTAGCACTGCCAACAGATGGCAAAAATGCCTGCAAGGACTTTTATCTAAAAGGTGCTACTTTTCTAAAGTGGGTTCAGTGAGGGCACTCCGTAGCTAAACCAGTTAGCAGCACTTTCAGAAGAAGGCAGGAGTCAAAAGGAGTTCTGCTCACTTGCCTACAAAAAAATAAATAAAACAAAATGGCACGTTAGCTAGTGCCCAGTGTGCCTAGCAGGTAATATAGCTCTGTAAGCAGCTGTTCTGATGCAGGTGAATATTCTACACTTCATTTACATTCAAAGCTTCTTGTAAGAAAGAGTAATGCAGTGATATTGTTGTAAAATTTGTCAGCATCAAGCAGATAAAAAATAAAAATAATTGTATTAAAGAATGGTTAGGTTTAGAACAGAGATGGCAGTCACAAAGGCTTTAGTCAACCAGTTTTGGCCTTAAAAACGCAATGCATGCAATAGCGTATAATTATACATACAAGGTGGTTACTTTATTTTCATCGTCTTCTTTACAAACATCAGTGTGAATTCTAATTATCTGGCTTAACAAATTTATGGTTTAAGTAAAGTTTCTCCAGAAGAGGGCACAGTTTACATAACGAAGCCACCACCTAAGGTTGCCAACACTGGTTACTCTAGTCCCTAACAAGTGATAAATTTGACATTGTTTAAAATGAGAGTAATATCCTTTTTCCATTAAAATGTACATGCTCTATTTGCCTTCAAAGGGAATCCGCGGTGGGGTAATGTCTTGGTTTGTACTCTGGTGCCTACTAACTGAATTTGCAATGCATTGTGATTGTTTTCAGATTTGCAAATGCTAAAAAAAAAAAAAAAAATATTGCTTTCAACCTAAATATTTGTTACCAATCTGCATCTATGGGTGTGTGATCCGTTTCAAATCAGCCTTAAATGTTGTCAACTAGTATTCAATTCACTGTTAAAATTTTAATATTACTTGTAAGTTCTGCAATTTCAAGCCGGTTTCTCTGTAAAACATAGGGAAACCCTTAAATCCTATCTTGCTGTTCATAACATTAAAAAAAAAAAAAACTATATCCCTAGAGATACCATGAAGACTCTCAATCTTCATATATAACTCTACTAATAGATATAAAAACATTCTCTGCTCTAAAAACGTTGCAATGTGCTATTCTGGGGGTTTGATAGGAGGCAATGCCATTATTAACCCCTTAAGGACACATGGCATGTGTGACATGTCATGATTCCCTTTTATTCCAGAAGTTTGGTCTTTAAGGGGTTAAAGATGGCTCTGGAAACATTACCATTGGTGCATTCATCTAAAGAAGGGGAAGATTTAAAAACAAACCAAGACAAGCACATAGTGGGAAAAAAGATTTGCCTATACTATCAGAATCTGCTCCCAACACAGCTTTAATCATTTCGCAAATTGGAAGGCATGGCCTGAAGTTGTGGGAGGGGCTATAGACCTATAAAAAGGGACTCCCCCTCCCCCCCTTTCCCAACTTAACTTTTGTTGATCAGACGAACAGACTGTTCGAGGTCAGCATTTGCATGAGATTCATTTCCAGGTCATACAAGACGCCATTTTGGTTTCACCTTTGCTCGATGAGGTCTCCTACTCCAAGCTGTGTCCAGGAATCCTGCAGCAGGGCTTTCCGTTAATCCAGTGGCTTTCTCTCCAGTCAGCATCGCATTTGGTGTCTCAGGGACTCTCAAACCGTAAGTTGACCCACCTGTCACACCAGGATTAGTTCCCACGGCGTTCAGCACAGCACGGGTCCTCACTTTACGGTTCCCTTTCGTTTTGCACGGTTATTTCGTTACCTTATACTCACCTAGCTGTTCATGTAAAATCTGTTTAAAATCTGTTTTGGTTAAAATCTGTTCGGTTAAAACTACAAACAAAATAAAAAATTTCGCCTACACACTGACCCCTACCGTTTTTTGGGTGTACTACAGGCTGCTTAGACATTATCACATTTCATGTACAAACCAACGAACCACTGCATTTTCACCTAGACACTGACCCCTGTCATTCGGTGTACTACAGGCTTCTCAGACATTATTGCATTTCATGTACAAACCAAAAAACCACTGCATGTTCACCTAGACACTGACCCCTACCGGTCATTCGGTGTACTACAGGCTTCTCAGATATTACTGCATTTCATGTACAAACCAACTAACCACTGCATTTTCACCTAGACACTGACCCCTGTCATTCGGTGTACTACAGGCTTCTCAGACATTATTGCATTTCATGTACAAACCAAAAAACCACTGCATGTTCACCTAGACACTGACCCCTACCGGTCATTCGGTGTACTACAGGCTTCTCAGATATTACTGCATTTCATGTACAAACCAACTAACCACTGCATTTTCACCTAGACACTGACCCCTGTCATTCGGTGTACTACAGGCTTCTTAGACATTATCGCATTTCATGTACAAACCAACGAACCACTGCATTTCCGCCTACACACTGACCCCTACCTGTCTTTTGGTGTACTACAAGCTTAGACATTATCGCATTTCATGTACAAATCAACGAACCACTGCATTTGCGCCTACACACTGACCCCTATCGGTCATTCGGTGTACTACAGGCTTCTCAGACATTATTGCATTTCATGTACAAACCAATAAACCACTGCATTTTCACCTACACACTGACCCCTACCGGTCATTCAGTGTACTACAGGCTTCTCAGATATTATTGCATTTCATGTACAAACCAACGAACCACTGCATTTTCACCTAGACACTGACCCCTACCTGTCATTCGGTGTACTACAGGCATCTCAGACATTATTGCATTTCATGTAAAAATCACCGAACCACTGCATTTGCGCCTACACACTGACCCCTACCGGTCATTCGGTGTACTATAGGCTTCTCAGACATTATTGCATTTCATGTACAAACCAACGAACCACGGCATTTTCGCCTTCATGCTGACCCCTACTGGTCAATCGGTATACTACAGGCTTCTCAGACTTTATTTCACTTCATAAGCAAACAAACTAACTACAGCATTTTCGCTTTTATACTGACTCCTATCTGTCAAACGGTATACTACAGGTGTTTCAGACATGGTTATTCCCCTCATAACATTACCACTATAATTATAATTACACAATAACACTTCCTTACAACTCATGCTTGCTATGATATAATCATTCCTGCATACCTGCCTACATAGGCATTTAGTTACATTTACTGATAATACGCATACATTTACCCAAGAATGCACATACTATTTAAAGCACTATGCAGGATTCCAGAGTCTAATACGGAATATTTGCATATTTGCACGCTTAAAATATAAGTCCTTCCAATTACGTATTTTCACATATTAGGTTATTCAGCTGCCAGTCATGGTTCACTACTCATGTTTCGGGTTACAGTTGTATTCCATATCACACATGATATAACACTCCCGACAAGTTAATTTCCTTCAAACAGGGGCATTACAAGCATACAACATTGGGACGGAGCACTTTTAAACTTACATAACACACATATGGGTATACACTTTTAAATGTCTATATTCAATTTGCATACATTGTTTTACCCGTACGAGATACATTAAGGGTATCTAATCATACTAACCAGGTACATACACCTGCTCATGTGGTATATACATACATTTTCTGTTTCCCCCTGGGTATATCCTTAACGTACTGGCAATTAGAGACTATAGGTTTCCAACAGGTATTCTCCTTTCTTGGCATCTACACCTGTCATATAGTGGTCACGTGAGGCCAACACCCCACCTCAACGCTCGGAGGCAAACACCCATCGGGCGCCTCGTGAGCTAGCCGCCTCACCTGTCACTCCCTTCCCCTTTTTTCTGGTTACAGTCACCGAGGCCAACATCCTGCAACTACGTTTGGTGGCCACAAAAATCCCCTCGCACCATTGCATAGATAGAGCCTCTCAAGCCACTTGGCAACTAGCAGGGCCTCATCTGTCACCAAACAAAGGATTAATTGTTTCGCCAGGCGGCTTTAGCTAGCAAGCCAGTACTAGCACACTGTGGGTTCATATAATAATGGCTTTTGTTGTTTTTTTAGTATGTATCAAGCAGGTGGTAAGGATTTCTCTCTACCTAGCACTCCAGCTAGAGTCAACACACTTTCACTTGGAGGAAATGTTGCTAGTCCCACACGACAATTTTCTCCTAACACAGCAGACGATCACGTTTCAGGCTCCAGGCTCTAGCACCTCTGGTAGTACGTAGAAAACTACCAGAGACAAATTGGGTCGTCTCATTCTCTGTGGCAAATCCCATATTTGCAACAATTTCCATGTTGGCACATGTAGTTTCAGTGCATGCAGTTCTCAATATGTCAGGGCACGTGCAAAAACCATGTGTCCCAATAAATGAACCCTGAACCTTACTTCACGTCTTTAAACATTATGAATTTCCAGTACTTTCTAACTCATCACCTTTCCAGACATTTAGTTGATTTCCTAATCTCCTATTTTTAAAGGCCTTCCGTACAGGTATTGCCATATACTTTTGGGGGAATCTAGAATGCCCTAACTTGCAGTCATCACAGCAGCATCCAACAGCTGGCATTACACTCATGGCCCAAGAAATGGCAGAAAGATTTCTACCTGGGCCTCTCCGATCTACACCATTTACAGCGAATCTTCCCTCACACTGTAACTGATCATAGACTTATCTGCACCTCACGCCTCGGCTACCCCAAGTCTTAACTCCCTCATACCTTCCAAGGAGTTTTCATTACAGTATGCCACCATTGTTCATACCATTACAGCTATCACTCAAGCCTGGTTAAGTAAAACTAATATCACAAACGCATTTCAGACTGCCACCATCCACCCTACACTGGCACTTACAGGGCATTTATGGACAGCAGTTAATATTTCTTCTCCCGCTTAACTTTCGGGTCAAGAGCAGCCCACAATTTTCAATATATTCGTTGAACTCTTTGCAAAGAGTTTGGAAGCCTTTAGTATGTCTGAACACTTGGGTGTCCCAGTATTCCCTAAGGTCACGGAAGACCCAGACACTATCGTTACATTCCTGGGCATACAACTTGACTCGGCATCCATGCCAACAAGTTACCACGTGAGAAATAGGAACAGTCGCAACAACACCAATTACCACCTCCTGCTTGGTACTTGCAACTGCATGGAACTACAATCCCTACCAGGTTCCTTAAATTTTGCCATGCGCATCATACCGCAGGCCGCGCTTTCATCTCAGAGCACTTTGCTTTTTCCACACTCCCGCATGATGATCAGGGGCTGTCCCTAGACAACCAAGCCACGGCAGACCTACACATATGGTGGACTTTCTTATCCACACGTAATGGTAAACTAATGTGGCAGCTGCCGTGACAGCCGCCATGGCAGGGGGGTAATTTATGGTCAAGGTCATGAATTACATGAACCTCGCCAACATTGGTCAGACGAATAGCCCCACCCTTCACTCCCACTGTTCATATTTCCTCTATGTAAGCCCACTTTTTACCGGCCTACAGCATACGTCGGTTTCGGCACACCTCAACCGATTATTCCTAAAGCTACAACTCTACAACTTACCTTATTCTTTATCATATGAGAATGCCCCGAACATAAATAAGGGAACATTAGCATATTCTGGCTAGGGAACATTTATCTTATTATTCTCAGATTGACAGCTTCTCTTACCACTTCTAAGAGCAGATTTTTACAACATATTCAAATCGCATCTGAATTTCCATTTTATTTTTTACAATCTTTACGCTGTCAGATTTAAAAAAAAAAAAAAAAAAAAAGTACATAGCATGATCATTAAACAAAAATGTGTGTTTATATGATGTTTGTATTTTGAGAATAAATTCTGTATGTGTGATTTTACAGTTATTGCATTGGGAAGGGTTGGGATGGATTTCACACTGTATAGCGTGTACCAGCTGTCTAGTCTCCTCATGTAGTGGGATAGAGATTAATCACCTTCTTTAAGAACATTGGAAAGAACTCATGCTGGACCGTATAATAGTACCCTACTTAGAAGATTTAATGCAGTACATTGAATACATACACAAAAGAAAATGTATAATTTAAGAGGGGAGGTGGTGGCGATGCATAATGGTGAGTTTTAATACTGTAACTGTAAAGCTCTGTAAGTCACTCAATTGTTCACAATAACGTGGGGTTTATTGCTTTTGTGTTGTGTGATACAATAACAATGCACATTGCGGTGTATATTAAATGTGAGTTGTGAAGCTCTACTGCACTCAGTTGAGGAAGACATTGCATTAAAGGGGTATTTGCATTAAAATACAATACTAAAACAGATCTCCTGAGCCAGGATGAAGTCTCCGGTTAATGTGAGTTGACATTTTACCTTAATATAAGTTGCAGTATCCGCCCTTCCTCTATGTTGTACAAGGAACATTGTGGAAATGCAACGAACATAAATAAAAAACAAAAAACACACTTCATTACCGCACAATAACCTGCCTTTTTTATTTTTATTTATTTAAATATGGCCACTGTCTATGATCATGCATCAAAGCACATTTCAAATATGTCCATTTACCTTGCTTTTAAGGTACATATATGAAGAACACTTTTTAAAGTTAGTTATTTGCTATTACTTATAACAATATTTGTCCGATCGGCACTAAAAAGGCCAACAATTCTAGATTCTAGATATATATGTATGTATACACACTTCAACCTGAAGCATTCAGAAAGATCCCATCAGTGACACACTTACTGTATGCACCCACTATCGACTGCATCTAAAAATCAGCATTTCTGGAAACACTCTCTCCCATTTAAATCTGTACACCTCTACCAACAGCTAACTAGGACATCACATCCTCCTCCTCCTCCTCATTTATGGTTACAGATTAAAATAAACATTCTACCTGAAATACAAGCCATCTTTTACCAAATGGTGAAAAACTAAATATAACATTTTAGAATAAATTGACTTCAATCATAGTTTAGTGGCACTTTCAGTAAGACTCCCATTACACACAGCCACTATTGAAGTTAGAATTTAACTTGCGTACTATGTACTGGTTAGTCATTAATGGTAAACTTATTGTGCAAGCTTAATATGATTCTTCCCCCATGGCACAGCACAGTAAAGGGGAAAATAACAGTGGTGACACGCATGGGGAGAGCTGACAGCATCTATCCATCATCCAGCCCAATGGGATTTGTTGCTGGTGTGGGCCAACCATGATATCATGCAACAAACCAATCAACACACTAACTATCAATACTGAGAACATAATACCACTTACAAGATAATAAACCCGTAGATATAACCGCGTGTTTGAATGTATGCAGTTTAAATTAAAAAAAAAAAAAAAATAAGGTCCAGTGCTCGTAGAATGGGACAAACAATACATAACCTACCTCTCACTGCATTGATTCACCACCTACCATACATATTACAAGGAAATAAGACAGGGGTCTCAAACTCTGCCCCACTAGAAATTGATGGCCTACTAATCCAAAAAGTCTTTTGAATGCAATATAGATTAGATTATCATGGGCTTAGTAGTTCAGCAACATCTATGTTTGAGATGCCAGAGTTGCAGCTACGAGGAGGTCTGCTGCATGCTGGGAGATATTAATTCCAAAAAAATACTCCTAGGTTCAGCAACAGATTGCTTTTCAAAAAGAAGAAAAGGGTTGATTTACTGCCCTCGTAACAGAAATAGCAGCAACAAAATCTAGAAAAGGCATTCGTGCCAAAAAAGGATTGAAAGAATATATTACATTCCACAATAAAATAGCACATAAATCCAATGGATTTGCTGGCATCAGGCACCTGGTGAATGTGTAACGTACAAATGGAAGAAATACATGTAAACAGACAAGCATAGCTAAAAGAATACTTGAGAGCTAATGCAAGGGTGGTATAATCCACACCAAGGAATATACATAAGACTAGTGAGCCAGATCATCGGTATCAAATAGATGGGAGACATTTGGAGAAATGTGTAGTGCAATAAACATGATAACTTTCGGGAGTATAAGAAAGAATATATTACATTTATATTTGACAGAGCCACTTGGTGCTCACTAAGAATTACATGAAGCAAAACACACTTTGGTATATAAAAGATGGCATATGAAGGTTTCTAATAATATGGACTATAAAAAAAAGCATACGTTATAACAATATAAACAGTATAAAAGGAACAAATGTGGCTACTCACAGAGTACGGACTATCTCAGTGCTGCAATAAAAGCATGATTGATACACCATAAACATCCATCCATGTACCTTGCTGTACTGTATCAAGAATAGATCAAACTGTGGAAAACAGTACAAAACATTGCTACCAATATTTTCACTTATAATTGGACTTTCTTTACACATATAAATATATTATTATATCTTGATTACTTCCATATGCAGGGAATGATCAATTTTGCCAAATTGTCATCCCTGCCCTGCCACCAGCAATGAGACTTCTGCTTTGTTCCTCCTTTCAATATATGGTATGGTACACGCTCAAGATATTATTATTTATATAGCGCCATCAAATTCCGCAGCGCTTTACAATGGGTGGACGAACAGACATGTAGTTGTAACCAGACAAGTTGGACACACAGGAACAGAGGGGTTGAGGGCCCTGCCCAATGAGCTTACATGCTAGAGGGAGTGGGGTAAAATGACACAAAAAGGTAAGGATAGTATTAGACTAGTGACAGTTGCAGAAGAGGAATCAGTCAGGAGCTATTAACAGTTTAATTGATACGCTTTTATGAAGAAGTGGGTTTTTAACGATTTTTTGAAGGAATGGAGACTGTGTGAGCATCTAACGGAGGAGGGAAGTGAGTTCCACAGGAACGGTGCAGCCCTCGAGAAATCTTGAAGGCGAGCATCAGAGGTGGGAGTACGGACAGAAGATAGACGTAAGTCTTCAGCAGATCGTAAGGGTCTAGACGGGACATACTTGTGTATAAGGGAGGATAGATAGGTGGGAGCAGCATTATGTAGAGATTTGAAAGCAAGAACCAGAATTTTAAATTGAGCTCTATATTTTATAGGAAGCCAATGTATGGACGGACAGAAGGGTGAGGCATGGGAGGTGCGGGCGGACAGGAAGATGAGCCTCCCTGCCGCATTCATCATGGACTGTAACGGAGCAAGTTGGGAGCACATAAGACCACTGAGAAACGGATTACAGTAGTCAAGGAGAGAAAGGACAGTGGAATGGACCAACACCTTAGACGCATCTGGGGTTAAGTAGGGGCGGATGGGCGCAATGTTTTTGAGATGGAAATGACAGGATTTGGCGATAGATTGAACATGAGGCTTGAAGGAGAGGTCGGAGTCAAAGAGAACACCTAGGCAGCGAGCCTGCGTGGTGGAGCTGATGGTAGCACTGTTGACTTGGAGGGAGACAGACACAGGAGTAACAACACTTGAGGGAGGAAAGACCAGAATTTCAGTTTTGGTCAAGTTTAGTTTAAGGAAGTGGGCAGCCATCCAGTTAGAAACAGCAGAGAGGCAGGCAGATACACTGGTCAAGGGGGATGGGGAGAGATCAGGAGAGGACAGGTAGATTTGCGTGTCATCTGTATAGAAATGATATTGGAAGCCAAAAGGAGCTAATGAGTTTACCAAGGGAGGCAGTATAGATAGAGAACAGTAGGGGACCAAGGACAACCTTGGGGGACACCAACAGAGAGGAGTTGGGGAGAAGAAGCAGAGCCAGAGAAAGAAATACTGAAAGAGCACTGGGAGAGGTAGGAGGAGCACCAGCAGAGAGCAATATCTTGCAGACCGATATTGCGGAGGATGAGAAGAAGCTGCAGACAGGTCAAGGTATTTTTGACCCATTTGTAAAAGGTAGCTATAAGTGGTTCACTTAACTCTGGTTGAATATATAGAGCTCCAATTTTCAAGTTCAGCAGAAATTTGTATAGAAAGGTTAAAGAGGACATTGCACAAAAGAGGCCCATCTGAAGGTCACCACCAACAGTCTGTGCAGACTAACCAAAATGCAATTCAGTTCAGGGTAGATTTATTTATATAAACTTTGTCTGTGTGATATATTTGAGGTAAAACCTGAAGCCAAAGAAGCAATATCTTGTAACATTACCACCATGATGTGCCAATTGTTAAAATTATTCTTGGAAAACCAAACCAGTCATTTAGGCGTTTCATCGATCACAAAGTCATTATTACCAAAGATCGCCTTCATGTTACAGCACGCTGCACACCACTGTCATATAAATGCACTGGGATTGGGAATGTGCTGTGGTTAAGTAGGTTTCAAAACAAGCAACGCCTGATTTCTAATGCTGGTACCGAAGCCCTTACCTTGACTGCTTTCCTCAGGAATGGAGAAGGGGGGGAAAATGAAAAATAAAAGTTTTTGTTACAGTTTATTAGACGGTATCATTTCATCAAAAACCTTGTCGTAAAGTCTTGTTGTGGATTTCCAAATATTTTAGTTTAAATTTTAAAAAAAAAAAAAGAAAAGAAAATGGTAGCGCTGAAAATCTTCATACCAAAATTGGGTTTTTCCACATTCAGACATCTCTTATCCTAGAATGTATAATGACCACAACCGTAGTAGTCTGGAGAAGAGGGAAAGATCAACAATAGATGTTGCATCCTTTTAGACCACATGACATGCCATGTCTTCACCCTACTAATCCTCTTCAACTTCTCACACCCTTTTATTACTACAAAGCTCTTCAAGCAACCTTTCATTATTAAAGGAACCTTATTTCCGCAGTTTTATTTTTCTGACGTTCCCTAACATAGACCAACATTTAAACTTATAGTGCCTAAAATGCTTGACTTTATCACAGTCCATCCTTCCCAATGCCTAAACACGACGCAAGGACTGTCAATTCTCAGCCTTTATCCATTACTTTTTCTATTCTGTCTAAGTCTTGTATTATTTTTGTACTCCTTCCTCACGCTCTGCACTGTCTGGTGGTGTCCAGACGTTTCCAGAGTTGGTTTTCTCACTTCACTAATTCTCTGAATACTTAGCCAATGCATAGACTCTTTGTATTCGAAAAAACTAAGAGGTATTCCAATTGCAAAGAGGCAAGATTATTTGACATTCGTTATGCTCCCAGTCAATCCTCAAATACCAAACTTGGCCTTGGTTAGATTTCCGGACAATTTTCAAAACCCACATGGACATTAGTACATTTCTGCCAGGTTACAAATCCAAATCATGACCACAGGTATGGTTCTGGTCAATATGTTGACCTGCATCTAGGATTTAGCAAGGTTTTCTATATCGCCAATACCAAGGTTGGTCTATCTGGATTTCTGCTTCTAATGGAATACCGAAAGCTTGGCCTTGACTGTAATTACTGGCGCATTCTCTAAATGCCACCCTAATTATTTCCAAGTGTGTTTCATTTCCACAGTGCCTTAAAGTTAAAAATGTTGCTGTACCTGGAAAAAAACATTTTTAGCTGCTAATTGGGAAATTAAACTGTAAAAACCAACAAGTAAAAACCAAAATATAAAATGTCTTTATTGAAATATAAAATTATTTACAATTTGGTAGAAAAAGTAGAATATACACAAACAAAATTTCAAAAACCTCTTAATAAAATACTTTTGTGTTTGCTTTAAAATTACAAAATAATAATTAGAACATATGATAAACTTGGCATAGAGGAAAGGGGGGGAATTACATAAAGCTGTGAGTTCATGGTGGTGCAAGTCTCCCTTTATAAATTCCTTACTCGAACCTCTGATCTCTATTTGTTTTATTGCACTGATAAAGATAATTCTGCTAGGATTACGGTGTCATTATGATGCTTGTGCCTGGAGGATATGGTGAAAATATTGATTCATGTTCAAACGCTCCAAAAGATCTGTCAGCCTAAATCTACTTTCTCCATTGATTGAGCTTTAACGAAGAGTCTGTAATGTTGAACTGTTAAAATAGTCTTACTTGCATGCCTTGGAGAAATAACTAAACTAGGATACTAAACAACTAAACTATTATCTTCAACATAAAACTAATTTTGTTTGTTTTTTCCCCAGGAGAAAAAAATCAAACATGCTCCTGACTTATTTTTTATGTTTGCTCTTTTTTAACGGCGGTTCATACTTTCAAAAAAAAAAAAAAAAAAAAAAGTTAAGCCAGGAACATGTTTATACTATATTGGTAAAAATTACAAGTACAAACTGTGGTTACTAATTCTATAATGAAAAGTAAAAATTGACCAGAGATTGTGTACAATCAACTCACATCTTCAAGTCTCTAAAAGGCATTAAAATGGAAGACCCGAAAAATGTCAGTCTGAAGGAATGGAAATGCCAGGAGAGCAATGCTTTGATGGTGGCATAAGAAGTCTGCAAAGTATTCGTGTAGTATAAACGTGCATATGAAAAAACAGAAAAGACAAGAACATGGCATTTGAAATATATCACAAGCCCAATTATTTTCTGTTCGAAAATCCTAATTATTATAGTCAGGAAAACGAAAATTAAGGTTTAAACGTAACAGAGCAATCAGAGTATTTTCTACTGTTATTAAATGCTTATTATAAATATTTTTAGAATTGTATCGTGAGGCACAGTCCTGCATTTAATATTTTATTTTTGGTGTGTAGGTGCTGGCAGACAGACTGTTTAACATTTTTAGCCATGTGAAAGTATTGTAAATACTTTGTCTTATAATCTGCTCTTTCTGCACATCCTACAGACACACTTAACGCAACTAGTCTACACATATGTGCATTTTTTTTTTCCTTTTAATGAAAATCATTTGCACTACAATCAAAAGATGGGTGCAATACACCACAACTGAGATGGACATATATATGGCTGCTGATAATTGTACTTCAAATGTGCAGACATGGTACATTAAAAAGAATGTACTTTCAGTAAATGGACCTCAAATCAAACCTTGCCTTAGTGCCAATGCCATTGGGTAGTCAAATGACCCGAGAAGCAGTTACCAAGTTAAACGGAGTCTTTCAGAAATTAGGTATCGGAAAGTTGAAACAGAAGCGGATTACGTACAGAAGAAGCAATATCACTATGAAAACTCAAGCCTTGCTGTTCATTGAACTACAAATTCACCTGGATAGATACTGCCCAGGTATAAATTAGTTTACACAAGTCTACAACACTACCAGTCTTGGCAGCTAAATTCTGCAACTCAAGTCAGATCTTGAAATAAAAACTAGAAAAGGTCTTCTGACTTTTCAGCAGAGTGCCTATTTTGGTCATCACGAAAAGCAAGCCCTTCTTCGAGTCCACTCATTAGAACACATTTAACCCTAATCCAACTGAGCTTTAACAGATATAGTTTGCATTATACTATCTAGACAGGGTATGAGGAAAAATCAGATCTGACTCCAGGGTGAATATAAAAAAAAATATATATTAAAAAAAAATCAACATAGAAAAATCAGATACAAACCAAAGGACACAGCAAATACCCTGCTATTGTGCATGAAGAAAAGTGTAAAGACAGAAATATAGTTTTAATGTGAACAAAACGAAGGCTCAGAAACATCTTAAGGCCAGAATATAATGAAATGTCCCCAGCATGCCGATTCTAAGTTATGAATCCATTGGCTGTATATATGTGTTTAAGTTTTCCAAATGTTAAACCTCTTTTTATATGCGGATTACAAATGCTCACAGGCAACTCTCAAACTACTCTTCATCATAACAAATCATTGTAAAATGGGGTAAGCACTGCAAGAGCATATATGGAGAGATAGATGTATATGCACATTCACATGAGAGAGAAACAGAAACAAACAAAAACTTTCATCTGAACATCTGCAAATCTGCAAAGCCACATAGAGCAGCAATCAATGAATTAAAGAGGGGGCAGGGACACTTCCTGCAAAATCTCGAGTTAGGTCTACTTCAAACTCCCTGAGCACAGTGCAGCTAATGCAAAGCACTGGTCACTCCTTTGAGCACATTTACATATTCTGATTTCTCCCAATATTTTCTCACGTTCTACATGCTGCAAATTACTTAATGTGACTGGATGATACAGAAAAGTATTAAATACTTAATTTGGGCCAGAAATATACGACTGGATGAAACCAACCATGCCAAATGGGCTTGTAAAGTTATTTCACAATATTCAATTTGTTCCCGATTGGAAAAAAAAAAAAAAAAAAAAAAAATTACAAAAATTGCATAAGGATTTAAATTTTAAAAAAGGCAAGTAGAATTTAAACCCTGAGAAACCAAAAAAATACCTCTTCAAATTTGCCAACAAGAGACGGAAGACATAGCAGTGTAAGCTCACAGCAGCGATGGCAAACCGTTGGCTCTTTTTGGCTGGCTGAGTATATTATTAATAAAAAAAAAAAAAAAAGTGCGCACAACAACTGCAGCACCAAACTGTTACCTATCACTGGTCTGTACACTGGGATAGGTCAGAATTTATTGAGAAGTCTTCTGCTGTAAAATGTTACGACTCACAATATAAAATGGATCCCTGCAGTTTTATGGCCTTCCAGTTACCACACAGCTATTACTCCCACTCTCGTTAAAATCAGCGGGTAGCTCATTAGGCTACTGTATGACGTTGTCTTTCAGTCACACTGTTGCACTCTCCAAGGGAATGTCGCACTGATGCTCCACAGTTTCTATTTCAGTGATTTCAGTCCCTTCAAGTTCCTCACTTGAGATGATAACAGTTCCTTCCTCCTCCACCAATGTAAAACTATTTCCGTTCACATGATGCCTTACTAGGTCCTCAAGTTTGACCCGATAACCCTCAACTTCTTGCTCCTTTTCCATAAGTTGCTGCCGGTATTCTTGGGCTCTGCAGGTGGCTTCATGCAATTGTTGCTGCAGTGACTGTCTGGTTTGGTCGTGGTCATTGGCCTATTGTGGGATAAACATACAGACATTCTGTAGAACAGTAATTAACAGATGGGCAGATGACTCTGTATTCTGCATTGAAATGCACCTCTGGGTGAACGCAGATAGTCACCTTTCGTTTACAGGTAAAGAAAATATACAATGAACACCTAAACAAAGAGAGCCTGTCTAGCCAATAGGTCAGATTTGTAAATGAAGATTTTGCAATGCTTTAAAGCATGCCATCTTGGAGAGTTTAACAATATATTGCATACAAATATAGTAAATAATTTTTGACTTAATTAAAAACACCATTGATTTAAAAAAAAAATAAAAAAAAAAAAAATAAAAAACCATGTTACATTTGGATTCCAGCACTAGCAAAATTCGCAACTACAATTGTTAATATGAGATGTCAGCTGAAGTAGCTAGAAATACAAAATGCACTTGCCTTACGATATAGTGTTTGAAACTCATTCCGTTTATTTACTAGACAAACCACTATGCACTTACCATTCAGAAAAAAATGCTTTAATTATACATACAGTGCATTAGTAACGAGGATATTTTACGTAGCAGGCAGGGTGAAAAATATATATATATAACTAAAAAGAAATAAAATCTTTTTAAAACTTGCTTTGATAAGAAGCATGGACCGTTTTTAAGCTTTTAGTTAGCAGCAAAAGCAGGCAAGTACAGTCAGCAGAGACAAACCATAGTTAGCTTGTACAGCACATAACCCGGACACCAACGTATCCCCCCATTCTTCCCTAGTGTGCGTCCTTACCTCATTCTCTGCAGTTACATCACTAATTGGCTGAAGGCGGCACTTTTTAGCAGGGGGCTGCTCAGCCTCTGTCACAGTCTCTTCTACAAATTGTTCTTCCCGCATGCCTATAACTGGAGGTGGATGGGAGATACCGAGCAAATTACAACCACACAAATCAAACAAAGTTAAGGAAAACTAAAGCCGTGAAAATTACTAAAGCAGCCAGACAAAAATCAGAAAAGGCCCGACTCTAAAATGAACAAAGCACACAATACTATTATATGCTTCAGAACAAAATTAAAAAAAAAAACAGAGAGGAAAAAACATAAAATGTGATTATGTAAATCTTCTACAGTGGACTTGCATTACATGAAATACTTTGCACCTAAAACCACTGCTAATAAATTGTTCAAATACATATATTCTAATTAGAATGCAAAGAGTAGCCAGAATGCATTTACCAGTGTTTGCAAACACACTGCTGGTAGTCTTTGACAATTAAAAATTTGAATTACTATGGAGTGAAAAGGGAGCAATGTGGCTTATAGTTATAATTATCAATAAAAATAAACAACAACTTATATCAGTGTATCACAGAACACATACAGGTCTCTCTCAGTGACATTGAACGTTTGGTCCTGTGCTCAGCTTAGCAGCAAAGTCGTTACCTTGTTGTCCATTTTCAATGGTCACAAAGAGTTGATGGCGGAGGTGATCAGCGGAATACATTTCCTGAAGTGTACCCATTGGTATGCTGCCATCAGTTACAATTGTAATAACTCGTTGTCCTTGATCTTCTACTATCTGCTGAACTGATGAACTCAGGGAATCCAAAGACACCACTTCAGCGCTGTGGCCTGGACAAACAAAACACTGTTACAATTCGCTTTGTCCGAGCCTTTCTATAGCAGATTTGTGAGATGTAATAACCCCTATCATGTGCTACATGCAATATAAGGAAGTCCGTGTTCACAATTTCAAGTTCGTTGTTTCTAGTCAGACTTTCAATGTTACATGCCACTGCACAATCACTATTTTTAAATGTGACCAGTGGTAATCAACATCACAGGAGAATTCTAAGCCACTACTCTGCTTCTGACAATTGCAATTTTTTTTTTTTTGTTATAAACATAGAAGTTTCAGAGAAACTGCTATGTTTATAAATGGGTTAATCCAGCCTGCAGTGGCTGTCTCTCGACAGCCACTAGAGGCGCTTGCGTGCTTCTCACTGTGAAAATCACAGTGAGAAGATGCCAGCGTCCATAGGAAAGCATTGTGAATGCTTTCCTATGGACTGGCTGAATGCGCGCGACTCCTGCCGCGCATGCGCTTTCAGCCGAAGAGGGGGAGGAGAGGAGGAGGAGAGCTCCCCGCCCGGCGCTGGAGAAAGAGGTAAGTTTAACCCCTTCCTCTCCCCAGAGCCCAGCTGGAGGGGATCCCTGAGGGTGGTGGCACCCTCAGGGCACTATAGTGCCAGGAAAACGAGTATGTTTTCTTGGCACTATAGTGGTCCTTTAACAGTTATACTACGAAAGATAATGAAACTAGAAAAATAAATTTTTAATTTTTTTTTAACTACTTATTTGCAAAGAATCTAAGATAAACATGTATATAAACATATGCACTGATGAATATAGAAAAAAAGCACACCAGGACCTGCAACATCATCAACTACCTTCCCCATAACCTCTGGTATAAGGAAAAGCAAGTACAAGGAGGAAGAGCTAAGACACAAAGAAGAATTTTATTTAAAAAGGTGTTGTGATCTGAAAAGTACAACAAAGTGTTTGTTTTGGGGGGTTTTTTTAATGCAGTTCATGCCAACCATTATAAATTTATTTATTTTTTTACCAAGGATAGGGCTCTGCTAGTATTTCCTTTTAAGAAACCTTGAAAAGAAAATGGCTGAGATTGCAATTCTGGGAGAAGAAGTTTGAACAGATCTCCTGAGCTACTTCACTACATATCCTACGAGAGCAATAAGGGAACACAGGCAAGATAAAACAACTATTGGATTCTGTATATGAACACACATTAATCTGCATTACTCACACTGGGTGTTGTCAGATCCTGAGAGAGGAGTGGAAGCTTCTGCTATTGCTGCAAATGTTGCCAGGACAGAATTGGAATTGGTGAACTGGATATCACTGCCATTAATGGTTGCTACAGCAAGACAGAGAGAAAGGTTTCATAACATGCAAGGATTGGTTTCATCATGGTTTTAATGTTCTGTACAGACAACCTGAGCATGGCAATTGCAAGACAACACTACAGCTGTTAGTGCAATCACACATTCAAAACAATGTAAACCAATAATGTACCTAGTCACAGGTTTGTTTTTGTTTTTTTGTTTTGTTTTTTTAAATGCGTAACTGAAAAAAAAAAAAAATAATGACATGAAATCAAACTACATCATAGCATACTACCCCTAACAATATAGTGTTCCACTCATTATGTATATTTAGGACCATCATAAATTAAATGAAGGGGGGGGGGGGAAGGGGGAGAGAGGGGAGTTTATGCCTACATGGTATTGACTCTGCCATGACCACCAAATATGCTGGGTGACTTAAAAAAATGACAACTATTGCAAAGTTTAGATAAATTAATGGACATACAACTTAAAGACAGTTCTACATTCAACCCTGTTATTTAGCAAGTTTGATTAGGCCATAAAAGTATGTGGCTGTAGAGAGAATACACAAAAGTTTTTGGACTGTTTGGCATTACCAATTCACCACAATGCATTATTCTGTGCATAAGCTCCAAATGCCTCCGATGGGGATTAACACAAATAATAAGGTACAATTCAGGAGCACCTGGATGATTAAATACAGATACTGATCACAATATTTATCATTGCCTGTATTTTGCTACAGTTTTCTAATTAACATCCTGTCCAGGAGCACATAAACAATCAAAATCTAGAATAAGATGATAGAAATATGCAACTGAATACTGAACCGAATGAAGGCAATACACTTGGACTGAATTTGCAGTGAGTTTGGTGAGAAATCTGTATTGCCCCAACAGCTGGGACATATACTTCCGGGCACCAGATAGGCAGTTTTTTTTTTTCGTCCTTTAGAACTGCTGCAGGCAAGGCTGCTTAAGGGAGCACATGGCCAGGTGCAGACCTCAGTAATCACTCACTCGTTGTCAGTCGCTGAGTGCAGCCGCCAGATTTCCCAGCATACACCTAAGCTAGATTTTATTAATTTATAAATTAAAGCTATATGAAAAGATAAATAAATAGCATAATGAAGTGTTTTTGGTGTTTGGTGTGTACACAATGCCCCTGAAGTCTCCCAACTTAACTCTCTACCACTTAGGAATTATCCATTCAATGTCACACCTCCCCTGGCTGAGACTCACAGAGCCTCCATGAAAAAAAGAAAGACAGACTACTACAACTGACAAGAGAGATAAAAGATATACCTATTGTTCCTGTAAGTTTTCTTGTAATTGTCCTATTTATTATTACATCCCCCCTCTCATAATATTGTAAAGCGCTACGGGATCTGTTGGCGCTATATAAATGGCAATAATAATAATAATAATAATAATAATGTATATGCGGAGCTTTTTGAAAGAAAAAGAGATAATTATTAAGCTACATGGTAGAGACTTACCAGTGGTGGTTTTCACACTTGGAGTGGACACAAAATTTGATAGGCTTGTCAGATCCCCAGATGTTAGTATAAGCTGTGGTGACGACACAGTGACTGAATTCGATCTCATAGATTGCAGATGAACATCCCCTTGCATTGCTTCCTGGAAACATCACAAGAAAATAAAAGGGATGAAAATCAATATTAAAAGTCAAATCTCCACCCCTTAAATTAATTTTGCCCCTTAACCTGTAATGCCAATATTAAAAAAAAAAAAACAAAAAAAAAAAAAACCACACATTGTTTCAGTTGTCAATTTTCTACAAGCTGTTATTAACCATTTATCACCTCCTTCAGTCTAAGATAATAACCACAGCCCTTTCTATAATGGTAACATAAAAGGATGCATAACATAATGATAATCGGGATGAGAAAGCATGAGTCTTAACTGCAACGGAAGGTGGTGATTGGTTGATAGTGTAACAGTCATCCATTGCCAGTACAAACTGGCATAGCTAAGGAAGAGTAATTTTTGCTTCAGCAAATCCTGTGTCAGCGGTATTGTAGACGGACAGGGAACATTTCAAATGTTAAACTGTTAGAAAAGGGTTTAGTAGGAGGGCGAGGCCTAGCAGGCGAACGGTACAGATGCCATTTCAGGAGCTCCGCTACTCCCGCAGTAAAAGACAGAAAATAACACCTAAACGAGCGCACCCCGACCGCCGGGGAGATCAGATTCGGCTCTGGGAGAGCAAACGACACACGCCGATGCCTTTTTTCCTGCAACCGGGTGCAAAGCAGACTAGAGGCTGGAGACAGCCACTAGAGGCTGGATTAACCCTGCAGTGTAAACATAGCAGTTTCTCTTAAACTGCTATGTTTTCAGCTGCAGGGTTATAACTAGAGGCACCTGGCACCCAGACCACTTCATTGAGCTGAAGTGGTCTTGGTGCCTACAGTGGTCTTTTAAGACATTCTAGATTAAACAGACTGTGCAATAAAGAAACCTAGACTGTCTAGGTAATTTTTCAGGAAGTGCAAGTCAGGCTGCATAAATAAAAGTTATATAATGCCTAAATGGCAGAGAATTAAGCAGTGAGAATTCCAGGGCCTGGTCTATACATCAAAATTAATTAACCCCTTAAGACCGGAGGGCGTACTATTACGCCCTATTTTAGGCAGCTCTAAATGCCGCCGGGCGTAATAGTACGCCCTCCGGTCTTTCCTTACTTACCCAGGGAGCCCCCCCGCGGCAGATCCTCCTCCTCCTCCGGCCCCCCTCCCCGGCCATGTGAGAGTGAGGTCTGCTGTATTGCCAGCAGGGGGGCTGCCTGTAATTACAGGTGGTCCCCATGCTGGCTGGAAATAAAAATAAAATAAATGAATAAGTGAAAAAAATAAATAATTATATATATATATATATATAAAATATTATATTAATTACAATTAGCGGGACCTGCCTGACAACCCATGCCGAAAGTAAAGGGAATTTAATTTGCTAGCACTATATTTAACCCTATAACTTTCCAAGACACCATAAAACCTGTACATGGGGGGTACTGTTCTACTCGGGGGACTTCGCTGAACACAAATATTAGTGTTTCAAAACAGTAAAATGTATTACAACGATGACATTCACAGGAGGACCGGAGCAATTTAGACACAATCACAGGTGATTACAATAAAGCTTATGAGCTTAAGGTATAAATTTACCACCCGGACAGTTTTTTGCTCACTGCTGATACCCCTGAGGACGGCGTGTGGTCACGCCGAAACGTACGTCGGGTTCTTCTGTGTTTTTAATACTCTCTTGAGCACTTTGCTCTGAGCACCTTTTCATTTATGTTTTTCTAGTATGTGTGTGTACCTGGGGCTTCAGATGTTATGACAGCATTTAGATTAGAACACCCACGAAGGTGTTTTATAGGAGATAGGGTATTAGCATAGCACTACTGTTTGGTTGGGAGTGTGTGTTTCTCCCTTTCCTGTTCTTTCCTACTGCTTTGTTACCTGAGTTATGTATGGGGGTACATATTGCCTTCTATCCCCTCTCCGTTTCTTGTGAGGGTTGGCTCTTGATTAGCCTTGTTCCTACCATACATATTTCTCCCTATATTATTCTGTCCATCACTGATTACCCAGGTTTTTTAATAGATTTCAATAAAGGCTTTTTTATTTTTTGGCAACTACACTACTGTTGAGATTGGACTGGGTATTTACCCTCTGGGCGGTCTTTATATAAGACATCCCTTTTTGGGTTTTTTTTCTTCCTTTTATTACAACGATGATATCGCCAGTAAAAGTGATGTATTTTGCATTTTTCACGCACAAACAGCACTTACACGGACGATATTATTGCTGCGATACTTTTTACTGTTTTGAAACACATATATTTGTGTTCAGCGAAGTCTCCCGAGTACAACAATACCCCTCATGTACAAGTTTTATGGTGTTTTCAAAAAGTTACAGCGTCAAATATAAGGCTTGTGTTTCATTTTTTTCACATTAAAATTCGCCAGATTGGCTACGTTGCCTTTGAGACCCTATGGTAGCCCAAGAATGAAAATTACCCCTATGATGGCATACCATTTGCAATAGTAGACAACCCAAGGTATTGCAAACAGGGTATGTCCAGTCTTTTTTAGTAGCCACTTAGTCACAAACACGGGCCAAAATTGGCGTTTTTGCATTTTTCACACACAAACAAATACTAACGCTAACTTTGGCCAGTGTTTGTGACCAAATGGCTACTAAAAAAGACTGGACATCCCCCTTTGCAACACCTTGGGTTGTCTACTATTGCAAATGGTATGCCATTATGGGTGTAAATTTCATTCCTGGGCTACTATAAAGTCCCAAAGGTAACGTAACCAATCTGGCGAATTTCAATTTCAAATGTTATATTTAATGCTATATTTGACCCTGTAACTTCCCAAATGCTATAAAACCTGTACATAGGGGGTACTGTTTTACACGTGAGACTTTGCTGAATACAAATATGTGTATTTTATTGCAGTAAAAGCAAACAGTATTATGACATTGACCGTTAAAATGTCATGTAGAACTAAAAAAATTTTTTTTTTTTTAAATCTTATTTTCTCCCATTTTTTTCATATTAAATTATGTTTCATAGCTAAATATTTGACATTAAATGAAAGCCCTGTTTCCCCTGAATAAAATGATATATAATAAGGGTGGGTGCATTTACTATGAAAGAGGTGAATTACGGTTGGATAGACATGTAACGCAAATGCCAGGTTTTGTTTACATTTTGTTTCGTTCACAACGTGTACATTTGGCTCCGTCCTTAAAGGGTTAATTTAGCCAATGTTGTTTTAATGTCTATAGTATCCCTTTAAGACGTCAGTCAGAAAATACATACCCAGTGCATGTTATTTTAGGTAATCTAGAATTATTCTGTGAACGGTCAATGAAAAAACTGTAAGAAAAGAAGGGGAAATACCTTCATTAATGTGCTTACCTGTATAGTAATCAGCAGCTCAGGATTGTTTTTGTCCAGGGCGATATCGAAAGCGGTTTTACCAAACTTGCTGAATGCATTGACGTCTGCTCCATTTTTCAGCAGCAGCTCTACCACATCCTTGTGACTGTGCTCTGTAGCCCAGTGCAAAGCAGTCATCTCCAGCATGTCCTTGGCATTGACATTGGCACCATTCTAGGATAGAATAAAAGTAAATACAGAATCGTGTCCATTTACTCATGCTCAGAGCATCATTCAACGGGGATTTAGTTTTATCATATCGTGTTATCCTCCAAGCAATACATACACACAGGACTTTCATTTTATTTTTAATTATATATTTCCTCTCAAGTTTAAGCTATAGATAGGATAGCCCCTTAAGGACGCATCTTCTGGGAACCATGACGGAATATTTCCGTCTGAGCTGGGTTGTGGCTCGACCTCTTCCTCTGTTCTGCGATGAGCGGGCGCTAATGCGCATGCATAGCAAATGCTGCATGCGAATTAAAACTTCACCATAGGAAAGCACTGAATCAATGCTTTCCTATAGGGAACATTCTGACCCTGGATGTTCTCATGCAGAGCGTGAGGACGTCCAGCATTTGATACTGGACCAGGTCTGTTTGGATGCAGGAAGCACCTCTAGTGGCTGTCTGAGAGACAGCCACTGGAGGCAGACTTAGGGCTGCAGTGTAAACATTGCAGTTTCTCTGGAACTGCAATGTTTAACACTGCCGCACTAAGGGCAATAAGGACACTGCACCCAGACCAGTTCAATTAGCTGAAGTGGCCTGGGTGCCTACAGTGTCCCTTTAAATGCCAAACTTGTTTTTGCAAATTCATCTGAGACATTTGGCTCAAATTCTACTACATTATAAATGTGGTTTACATGAACAAATAAATGCTAACCAAATGAAGCCCTGATATTTGAAAATGAATCTCATTTCTGCAGTGAGATTCATTTCAAAAGAGCTCAACTGCATTGCAACAAATGCATGTTAAATGGTTTGTGAATTTCTCTGCCAAAAATCAAAGCTGCTAATAGAGTAGTGACAAAACTTTTGTCAACTTGAGGATTTACCATATAGTAGTACCTACTTTGTTTGATATCTTTTGAAAGTGTTGAAAGTTCAAGGAAATTTCATGAGACTTCGTGAGCAGTTCATAAGGTTATTTTTATGTGATGCTCTTTTTTCATTTTTAATTAAAATAAAATAAGCAGTTCGTTACTCCTAAACCAGAACAAGCGTGACAACTGGCTTATTTTGCAATGTTACAAAATCTTTTGAGTACCACCAGGAGAATTTAGTGAGGCACTTCAACTCTGGAAATTCATCACTTCCCAATATTGGACGCATGAGAGTTCAATGGAAAACAGCTTATCTCTATAAGCAAATGGGCTTACAATAAGGAAGAAGCAGGGAGTCTGGTAACTAGAGAGTTCAGAAGAAAAATATCATGACTCAGAAAACTACTTTTTGTTTTTATGATTTTTCCTGTATTATCATATGTTAACTGACAAATATTTGCATAACAAGCTCACTTAATTTTTTTTTTTTTTTAAACTATAAAAAAACTTAAGGGACACTATAGTCACCATCAGAACAACTACAGCTTGATGTAGTTATGGTGTCTATAGCCTTTTCAGGAAAAAGGGCAGTGTTGACATTATTGCTAGGGACACCTCTAGTGACAGTCACTAACAGCCACTAGAGGTGCTTCCTGGGTCAGTGCTGCATACATTCAGTGTCTCCATGCTCTGCATGGAGGAGCTGAACATGCTCCATAAAGATGCATTTATTCAATGCATTTATTCAATGAGGAGATGGACGCAGCGCAGCGTTTTGCAGAGCATGTGCGATAGTTTTTAACTGGGATAAGGGGGAGCCGGACACCCAAATTTATTTTAGAACTATAGTGTCAGGAATACACATTTGCTTTCCTGAGATTGTGTTCCTTTAATTTTCTTCAAAGCTGCACTTCTGCTGCTAGTTCATGGAACTGACAAGATTAGCTGTGCTCAATACACTCTCACAGTGAACAAGGAAAACAGAAGTAACCCTTGGAATCCCTCCCACTAGGTATTCCATACAGTTAAGCATCCTAGGAGTGTTGTGACTGGCCCACTTGGTGGCTATTCTCTGCATTGCCTACAGGTTTTTACTTTAGGTGAAAATGTACATGTTACCAATTTACAAGTAGTCTCCTAAGCAACTAAATATTATGTTAGCATTTTATTCCATCCTGTGCCTATTTAAATTTCTAGAGATAGGCAACAACATACTTCATGCAGTTCTCTAGTACCCATCATTTTATGGGAACATCAGACAACCTCTTTTCACAATGCAAAATAAGTTTTACCTTGACAAGCAAGTCAACAATATGTAGGTGGCCGTCTGATGCTGCCATGTGTAGAGGTGTCCTGTCAACTTTGGTCCGTGCATCTCTGCTGATACCCGCCTGGAGAAGAACTTTCACAGTGGAGTAGTGGCCACACTGTGCCGCCATGTGGAGGGGAGATGTTCCAAGCTAGAAACACAGACATCATTCATTAATCAGGTTTATCGGTCAGAAAGAGAGAGAGTGCAATTGTTCTGTTACAGCCCCCAGGAACTGCTCAGAAATTTGCAGTTGGATATGCAAAAATAGATACAAGGTAAACCTAAGGGACCCCAAAATAAAGCACTACTGAAGGGATGGGAGGGCAATTTAAATATAAGTTCTGTCATATATGGAGTTAACAAAATTATTTATTGAAAGCAGCGTTTTTATTTTTTCTTAATGGAGTTTACCTCATTTTATGTTTACAAAGAAGAGATTTATTTATTTTACGTATAAATTTATATACATAAAAAAAGCTTGGAAATAATATAGGTTAAACATTTGCTGAAATCCTTTCCTTTCCCAGGGATGTGCTAGGTGGTTCCACATTTAATAACTTAGAACTTACTATTTCAAAATCAGGTAATGTGAAGTTACCTGGGTGTACTTAACGGAACACTATAGTGTCAGGAATAGAAATATGTATTCCTAACACTATATTTTTAAATAAGCTAGGTCTGTTACCGACCACCCTCTCTATGGACATAAAAAGTGAGTTTTATTTACCTTTTGTCCATAGCAGTGGCTGGCCGACCTCCATTGTCATGATCTCAGCCAATCCAATGCTTTCACATGGAAAGCAGTCGGAGGCTATTGCACATGTGCGGCAAAGCCCTGTTCTGCAGCAATCAGCATCTCCTCACAGAGATGCACTGAAACAGTGCATCTCTATGGGAAGCGTTCAGCATCCTATTTATTACTGGTATTTACTTCATGCAGAGCATGGAGACACTGAACATTTGTACTGCACACTGTGCAGCACTGACCCAGGAAACACCTCTTGTAGCCATCTGAGTGACTGTCACTAGAAGTGTCACTAGGCAGCAATGTAAACATGGTCTTTTCTCTTAATATGGCAGCTTTACATTAAAATGCCTGTAGGGACAGGTTATAGACACCATAACAACTACATTAAGCTGTAGTGGTCCTGGTGACTATTGTGTCCCTTTACAGTAAAAATGCAAAAAAAATGATTGTTACAGATCTGCTTTAAAAAGCTTGATTGCTAAAGTTCATTATGTGTGTCCTCTTTCTTCATGTTACAAAAAGTGCAAACTTCAATAGAATTGCCACTCTTATAAATTAGCCTGGTTACAAATCCTCTGGTTTCCAATCATACAACGGGCCCTGTTACCTTCTGGTTGTTTAGCTCAGTTGAACTAAATCCAAGAATCAATTGCTCAGAGCACCTGCCTTGCAAAGACTTCTCATTGAGCTGCATTGAAAAGTCTGTTATTGGACAGTCACAGAAAGTACGGGCTAGGGAAAAAGGAGAGGGCTTGCAAACTGGTTTTAGATATAAGGGGGAAAAAATGCAGAATTAAATGAATGTATTTTTCCATTGGGGTGAATCTACTAAATTGTGATTTGTTTTTTGTATTTGGGCAGTAGGGTATCCCTTTAAAGGTGCACTCTAAATCACATACCCACCACAGATCATTGCAGTATCATGGTCTGCCACAGATCATTGCAGTATCATGGTCTGCCACAGATCATTGCAGTATCATGGTCTGCCACAGATCATTGCAGTATCATGGTCTGCCACAGATCATTGCAGTATCATGGTGCTTTCTTTATATGTGTGCTGCCCGGCTTTTCTGACAATCAGCTTTGAAACAGCGCAAGTGTCCTTAGCACCCACAACTATTTCTCCATGCTTTCACATTATCAGGGCAATGACAGACAGAGTGCTAGGTACTTTCTATTCCTAGCACTAAAGTTTCTCTTTAAGGTATAAATTTCATAGAAATCTGACCAACACTATGCATTTGAACTACCCAAATCTTAATATTATATCCCACCTTAATCATGTCTTATAAAAGTCAAGCACACTGTGCTTGGAGCCATGAACTATAGGTTACACATAAAATCTTCCATCACAAACCAAGACATGGCAAGTATAAATATAAATAGATTTGTCCACCACTTAAAGATTTCTCCTACATACCCAGTCAGTAGTAAATGGTGCTCCATTTTGCATTAGTAATCGCACTTGTTCATCTTCTCCATTGCGAGCAGCTTCTAACAATCTTTTCCCAAGGTCCAACGCCATCTGCCCACAGTCAAAATAACTGAATTAACATATATGCAGAGGTTCCATAGTATGGCATAAGTTGGTATAAATACCTTATGAACATCATGACACATGGAAAAAGGATCCTGATTAAATTAAACAAATCAAAATGTTTATTGATAAACACCACATGATCAGAAGTAACTGAACTCCAGATTGAACACCTCAGTTCAAAATCATGAGTATTAAAGGGACGCTACGCAGCATAAAACGCTACAGCTCAGTGTTCTAGTTATGTTCTATAGGCACTGTTTGGAAGTTATTTTACAAACATTACTGGGCTCTCCTCGACACCCTCATACCACCCTCTCTCTTTCCTCAACCGCATTAATCCTGTTGAATTTACATATCCTGCCACCTTATACCCAATGCTGTTTAGGTTGGATAAAATCAACATGGATAATAAAATGTGTCAGTTACATATTATCATTATGGCCAAGGAGCTCTCTGGGTGCTTGGGAGAATCCCGTTTTAGTCAAACTTTCCAAACAGTTTGATAATTACTGGGGAATGGCCACAGACTTATCAATTAACCATGCCCTGTATCAGTCACACTGCTTAGAGTGCATTTTTAATACAAAATGGTTCCCTTTTTGAAACCATAACACCTTGAATTTGTCAACGAAAGCTTTCTAAGAGATTTGGGGATATTAACACAACCACTGTCTTCCATTCATCCTAAAGCATTAAAGGAACACTAAGCACCATAATCCCTGCAGCCTCTACAAAAAAAACTCGGACAGACTACACTAGGGCTTCCACATCCTTATTATTCTTACAGTAAAAAAACCTTTCCTTTGCCTTAGACGAAATCTTCTTTCTTCCAGTCTAAACGCATGACTTCGTGTCCTACGTAAAGTCCGGTTTGTGAATATATTTCCACACAATGGTTTGTATTGGCCCCGAATATATTTGTATAATGTTATCATATCCCCTCTCAGGCGACGTTTTTCTAAACTAAATAGGTTTAAATTTGTTAACCTTTCTTCATAGCGGATATGTTCCATTCCTTTTATTAATTTTGTAGCGCGCCTGCACTTTTTCTAGTGCCATAATATCCTTCTTTAGAACAGGTGCCCAAAATTGCAAAAAATTAAAAACCCTTTTAAACACTTACCTAAATTCCTCCTCCCACAATATCAAGCATAAGGAGGACCTAATGTACATGCGCGGCAAGCACTGCACACAATTTCTCATCCCCCTGCAACTTTTAGGCCTCACACAGTATAAAAGCAATACTGTATCTCTTCATTTCTAATCTCCCTGCGATTTTCAGATACTGACAGCAGCTGGGAAGTTACTCCACCTCATTCGATCCATGTTTGTCCCCATATTATTTGTTACTGTAACAATGGGTAAGGAGTATCCTAAATGATGTAATTTTATAGAAGTGACGATTTCTATTAGAAATAATTAAAGGATCACTATAGGGTCAGGAACACAAACATGTGTTCCTGACCCTAGAGTGTTAAAACCACCATCTAGCCCCTCTGGGCCCCTTATGCCTCCATAAATATAGCAAAGTCTTACTGTATTCAAGCCTGAAGCTGTAACTCTGCATGCTGTTTGCCTCAGAAAAACAAGCGGTCTGCTGACATCATCAAAAGTAGTAGCCTGATCCAATCACAGTGCTTCCCCATAGGATTGGCTGAGACTGACAAAGAGGCAGATCCAGCATGATTCAAACACAGCCCTGGCCAATCAGCATCTCCTCATACAGATGAACTGAATCAATGAATCTCTATGAGAAAAGTTCAGTGTCTGCATGCAGAGGGAGGAGAAACTGAATGCTTGGACCCAGGAAGAATCTCTAACAGCTATCTGGGGAGTGGCCAGTGAAGTTATCACTAGGCTGTAATGTAAACACTGCATTTTCTCTGAAAAAACTGTGTTTACAGCAAAAAGCCTGAAGGTAATGATTCTACTCACCAGAACAAATTCAATAAGCTGTAGATGTTCTGGTGACTAGTGTCCCTTTAATGAAACACTCCTCTAGCTGTCAATCAGAGAAGCAGGGAGGGTTCTCCCTGCTTCTGTTACCTCCTCTGAGCAAACGGAAGTGGCTGGCGCTCTATCCTTGAGAACATCAGACTCTCCCCTGAATGAGAAGCCTGTGATAGGCTCTTTCCCCGTGAAGAGACTAAGTCTATTCCACAAAAAATATTAAGAAGAGGGCTGTAAAGCCTGCAGTTCATTAGAACTGCAGCTTTTGCAAACTGTTTTAAGTTATACCCCCAATGAATACATTCATGAAAATACATGCATGTATTCATTGAGGGTATATCTACAAAATAATGATATATTTTATTCCAAATATGGGCAGTGGAGTGTTCCTTTAATTTTCTCTAAGCATTTCCCACCCACCAGGATTTCTACAAAATTAATAGCATGCTCCTCCAGCTGTTTGAAATCTAACTCATTCCCTTTACATTTTACCAGTAGCTGCAACTCTCCGTTAACTTCCCATTGTAAACACACCTCTTGTCTCAAATCCCTATTATACCCTTTAGATCAAGCATGTCAAACTCAAAGCCTTGTATATGGGCCACATAAACAAGGTTTAAGTTTATGTGGGCCGCAAAAAAAAAAAAAAAAAAACCACACCTTACAATTTTCCTAGAAACTTAGGTTTATTTTAAAAAGTACAGTATAAAAAAAATCCCCCAGCACCCCCCTCTACCACCCTGTGCCAAATCTGATCCTCAGACTGACAGACGGCGCGCACAAGGGAGCTCCCTCTGAACTCCCTCACTGGCCCTCCTCCCCAGCCGTTTGAGTTTTAGCAGTGTAGGCACCTGCAATGTGGGGAAAGCAGGTACCTACTCTGCTATAACACAAGCATGTACTCGCGGCTCGCCGGGCTGCAAAGATGGTCCTTTAGGACCCTTACATTTTCATAAAAATGTAGGTTTATTTTGAAAAGTACAATATAAAAAAAAAAAAAAAAAAATACAGCAGTCCCCCCCAACCCCCCCACTAAACCACAACACCCTCCTCTACCACCTTGTGCCAAATCTGATCCTCCCGCTGACACCCACACACCGACACACACATACATACTCTCTGACAGACAGACACACACTTACACAATCTTGCACACACACTTTTCTTTATTGCTTCTTACCTTTTGGAGCCGAAGTGGGGCATCTCCCTTCTATCTGCTCTTTTTCCGGTGCCCGGCTTCACTACAGACGGCACGCGCTAGGGAGCAGTGAGGAGCAGGAACACTGAGCATCCTCGCTGGCCCTCATTCCTGGCCAGGTAAGTTTTAGCAGAGTAGGCACCTACAATGTAGGGAAAGCAGGTGCCTACTCTGCTATAACACCAGCATGTACTCGCGGCTCGCCGTGCAGCAAAAATGGTCCTTGTGGGCCGCATGCTGCTGGCGAGTTTGACATGCTTGCTTTAGATTGTACGTTCACAGACTATCTGCCTAAGCACTTTGTATAAAAAGGGCTTCAATGGCTAGATCTCAGCTAACAGGCAGGGTCCTCTCTAACTTTTATATTTGTCTGTGTATATAGTACATTCCCACCTAATTGTACAGCGCCGCAGAATATGGTGCTTTATAAATGCCTGTAATAAATAAATAAACCCTGCAATATAAACCCTGCAGTTTCTCTGAAATTGCAGTGTTTTCACTTGCAGGGTTAATGGGACAGGAACACTTCACCCAAACCACTTTAATGAGATTAAGTTGTATGGGTGCCTATCGTTTTCCTTTAAAACAGGGGTAGTCAACCTGGATTTCAGGTGGGCCGTAAGGAAATGTTACCATCAATAAAGATACAAAAGTGGGCGCTAGGTATTAAAAAAAAAAGTTCACTACCCCTGCTTTAAATACCTTTATTGTAAAAAATATGATTTTACTGTATGTACTATAAAATGCAGACGTTCTTTTTACAGTCTGTTACCATTTTCAGTAAGCTGTACTGCTAGTAATGCTTTCATGTCCTTACAAATGCCCCTAAGCAAGGTATGTTTGTCACATCTACCCCTCTTTTTGCCCTGTCAGGTAATACTTTAAATTTGCCCCCGCACGTAATACAATCTATTTCTGCTACCTTGCGTATTAACCCTCTCTTTCTGTCCCCTTTCTCGTTCCTATCTAACCCCTAAACATTCCTTTCTTTCTGCTCCCTTTCTTGTTTCTGTCCCACTCTTAATACTCCTCTCTTTTGGTCCCCACATGTAATAACCTGTTTGTATCCCTCTATTTCCCCCTCTCGGTATACTCCTATTTTTGCCCCCTCCCGTAATAACCCTCTTTCCTCCCCTCACATAATACCTCTATGTACAACCCATCTCTTTTTGCCCCCTCACATAATCTCTCTTATCGCCCCTCCCGTAATACCCATCTTTCTTCCTCTCGCGTAGTATTGCTTTCTTTCTACACCTAGTTTTTATCCCCTCATGTAAATAAAACCCCTTTCTGGTTGCCATCTTACGTAATACCCCTTTCTTTCTCCCTCCTCCCGTGATACCTTTCTCTTTCTGCCCACTCACATACTACCTCTCACTTTTTTCCCCCTCACATAATACACTTGTTTCTGCCCCTTCACATTATACCCCTCTCTTTCAGCCCCTTCATATAATATCCTTCTCCCTCCTCCCATAATATACCTCTTTTTGTGCCCGCACGGAATACTCTTTTTCTGCCCCCTTACGAACTATCCCTCTCTCTACCCACTAGCGTAAAAATATAAGAGGGGCATGCTCCGGTAATACCTCTCATTTTGCCCCTATGTCTCTTCTTGGTCTTTATTTTCCCC